AGTGTAACATTTTTGTAAAGCCTGGTCATTTTATTTTAATGCTGCACGCAATACAGATCCTACTCATCATCAGACATGGCCCAAGGGTGTTCATCGTGGTCACTTCCCTCCTCTGGCTCTGGTGCCTTCTGCTTCCCCTTCCGATCCACAGGTATCGGGGGCGCAACTGATTTCGCAGGCTTGCGCGTTTTCTGCTTGCGCCAGATGTCCACCACGTCTGGCCAGACGTAGGGGTACTTCAGCATGTGCAGCGTCATCAGGTCGCCAAGGCGTGCATCGCACAGCGATGTACGCATCCAGCTCTTTATGATATTCTGGCGACTGAACCCTCTCTCACACTCCACTGTGCTCAGTGGCAGCACAGCGAGGGCCTGCCAGAGTGTCATTAGGTTCGGATAGCTGCGTCGCCAATCCCGGCTCTTCAACATGCTGTGAAGACCCTGGTGAAAATTTTCTCCCGCGTGATGGCGTGGCATGATGTGACAAAAGCTCCTCAGCTCCTTCTTGGCGGCCTTGAAATCGAATCCTGACGGAGAAGGGGTTTGGGGCGGGGGAAGTAGTTAGCGGTGGTTGTCCGATGTTGGATGACATGCATGAGACAATACGTGTGAAAGGAAATGAAACATCACAGCTCACCTGGTAGCATGCCGCCAAACAACTCGTCGTTTGCGGCCAGCCACTCGAGGGTCTTCAATTCGCGCTGGTCATCTCTGCTCGGCCACGATTCAACTTGAAACAGCTTAGCGCCGCCCAACTGCTGCAAGTCCCACATGCGGTACTTCATGCGTGCGACAATTTCCTTCGCGAACCCTGTGCAGAGCTTCTCGCAGTCAGCAAGCGTGCCCCCAAACTTGTGCTTCTTGATTGGGGTCTCGCTCAGCTCGAACTTGTGTGATGTCTGCCGCCCCTCCGAGTCAATGCCTTCAACCACCACCGTCCGGTTGTCACCACCGTGCTGCTTAATGAACTTGGACAGGTGCTTGCTGGCCCCGCCGCCAAAGGTGTCTTCGTACTGTATGTAACGGTGAGTGATGATGGTGATCGTGTGGTCGACTTCTTTGGCCACTAGTGTGATGTCCACCTGAACACAACGGGCACGTGAAACATGTTAGTCGAGGAACAATTTAGTGTTACCACAATAACGACCGGTACAAATGGAACTTGCCTTGCGGTGCTGGAAGAAGCGGTTGAGAGAGTTGAGCACAGCAAGAATGTCTGCGAGGAAGTACAAACAGAAGTGAAATTTGAAGGTCTGTACTGTTGCAGCAATTTTGTGGCGGTACTCAACAATCATGACGATCGCCGCCCCAAGTACTCTGCATAGCCTCGCTATAGCATCTCCGCGTGATAGCCAACGGACGTTGAAAATTCCCTGGTGTTCAAGATTTGTCTTGTGTATCTCTTGTTGCAGCTCCTTGAATCTGTCGTACCAAATGTTGGAACGGCAGATGATCTCTCCCACGGCTCGCACTGCAGCGTCGATCATGTTCAGGTCGGGGAAAGCCTTCGCAGCATCCTTGACCACGAGTGCTTCCCTGCAACACATCCAAGTGGTAGATTAGTTAAGCTTAACGATGAACGGTTTTACAGCATTGCATGCGATGATTCTCGGAAACGCTTAAGCGAAGCTCACCGATGCGCGACGCAGTGACATCCGACGAGATGCGGCACGTGCTCTTGCAAACGGCTAACCAGACCGTTCTTCTCCCCCGTCATCACAGAAGCTCCGTCGGTGCCGATGCCGGAAACCCGCTTGATGTCCACCCCAACAGACTCCAGGTGGCTTGTGAGCACAGTGAAAAGCGAGGATGCGTCGCACTTGTGCACCGTCAGTAGCGACAGAAATTCCGTGACGGACACGCCATTTTTGAGGAAGGTGGCAAACACGATCAAATGTTTGCCGCGAGCGCGATCGGTGCTCTCGTCGCAAGTAATGCCGATGAATGGTGAAGCGAGAAGATGCTGCAGCTGCTATGTTTTCTGGTACTTAGCCATCGCCGAGGCCATTTCGTTGAATCCGTACCTGCCACAAGCCGAGGTGAAAGCGCTTAGACACAAATGGAATGCGGAAACATTCGTTGCGGTCTGGCTATTTTGGCACACGCTTACTGTGTGATGTACACGCCATAGGACTGAAGCGGTATGTCCTCTACTCCCTCCTCTACGAGGAAGCCTATGAGCTTCTGAAACATCGCGATCGGTGCGTCGTTGTTGCAGATAAACTCCACGCCGCGCATGAGACGAGTCAGCCGCGCCCCCTCCTTGTCGGTATTGGCGAAGTCGTCGATCCTCTTCTGGTGCTCGATCTCCGCCATGAGCGTCCGCTGCCGCTTCATCGCTTCCTCGTGGCGGCCGCTCAGCTCGTGGCATCGCATTGATCCGAGCTGCAGATCACGGCCCCCCGTTCCGTTCCGTCCGAATTTTGCATCGTCCTTTCCATGCTCCACGCAGATGCTGCATCGCAGAATGGGCAGGCCGTCGGCGTTCTTGTCCAGCAGCAGCCAGCCAAATTTCGGCAGCCACTGCGTGATGTATAGCTGCTGCGCCTTCAAAAATTTCTCTTCAGCCTTCTCGGCGTCGGTGAGTTCACGGGAGACTGGCTTCGGAACTTGGAGTGGAGCGGGCGGCGGAATCGGTTTCGCTGGTGGCGTGCCGAACGGTAGAACGGCCTGCGCGTAGCGACGCCTCTTCTTCGAGGCTGCAGACGATGATTCGCCCACCTCTGACACGCTAACAGTGGCGGGAGCACTGTCTGGCGTGACGGCATTGGAAGCAGGCGGGGGTGACAGACTCTGTTTCCCTTTGCTGCAAGAAGACGGGCCTGGAGTGAGGACAAGCGGAGGGTTCGCATGCACCGCGCGCAGGAAATAAAGGCCTGTTCGTGCGGGCACATCCTTCGATGGCTCGTCAGCAGCTTCTCCGTCACTGTCCTCTGCAGGAGCCATGGCTGCTTAAGGACAGCAGGAGAACCGCCAACGTTGCTCTACTTGGCGTGAGTGCTGTGTTCTTGTGAGAGGAAACCTCGCATGTGTTCATGACCCCTGTCATTTCGTGCCTCTGTTTCCTAATGTGCACGCAAACAAGCAGCGGAGCCTGCCTCAGTCGTGCAAGGAACGCGGTGCCCAGTGGGCTAGTGGGCATCGAATTGTTGCTGCATTCAGCCAAGTTTCCAGCCAACCCGGCCTTGTTGTCAAGTCTGACAAACAGACCAACTAGCGGAGGTGGCGGTGCCAGCAAAGAAACTGTAAACCTGGCCAATAGTGGCCCTCTGTGTGCCAGCACAGGAGTTGACAAGGCCGAAATTCCAGCCTCAGTGGCCTTGGTGGAATCCCAGGTTACGGGAAAGGGGGGGTGGGTGAACCGGGGGGAGGGGGGGTGTAGGGTACGCGTTACAGGGTAAAACTTGTTACGGGATCCGTAAACCCTTGGCCATCAGTGTGCCTTACAAAAAAAACCTGACACATCAGGGTAAATCTACCTCCACAAAAAAAAACCCTAGCCCATCAGTGTGACCATAAAAAACCACCCTGATTATCAGGGTATCAGGGTGATTTACACTGATAAAATTAGGCCTGACCGAGACCCTTATGAGTTGCGGGATCTGAGCTTGAGAGTGTACGCTTGGAAATGTATTGCTAATGTGTTTCTTGATATGTAATTTTCATGATTCACAATTTGCTTTTCTATGCCAATCCAGCACTTGAATTTTTTACCGGTATGTTATTCTGAAGTGAAGTCTCTAACTTATCCAAATATTTTAGTCGACTAGTAATCACAGGAAATATTGTTCAGTGTACTGCCTCACTCTTACTCGCGTGAGTTTGGCGTTCCCCACCATTTCAACCCCAAGAGAAGCGCAGTGTGCCCCACCAGTGCTGGGGCGGGAGCAGTGCTCTGTCGCACACTGGGTCGTTCGGCCCTCCCATATCCTCGGGGACAGCTGTCGCATAGTATCGTGGCGAAGACTGTTCTTCCCGCCTCCTGAATTCGGTTTCGCCCCACACACATTTTCGAAATTCACGATTATCAGGTTTTCGCCTAACTTTTTCAACCCCACATAACTTGAAAAAATACCATGCTGGCCTCGGGCTTTAAGCACAAGCGCTACAACTTTCAACTGCAGAGCGCTACCGACCCAGTGCCCGAGGACTACGTACGCCAAATTAGTCCATCAGACCATCAGACCAAATTAGTCTGATAACGAGAGCCCTGGTGTTATCTAGCTGGAACATTTGCGACTGGACCTGGTAGCTGGCTTCAAGTACGTAGTCAGGCTGTCACCAGCTTCTTTTACCATCGGGTTGGCGTAAGGACAAGAGTAGTGCCCAGTGTTTTGTGTGTGTTTTGTCCGTGTGACTGGAGAGAGTGGTAGGTTATGGGCATCAGTAGTCAGCAAAGAAATGTGGACTTTTTCAGAACCGATGCTTATTCTTCAGCCTATTATTCCTCAGGAAATTAAAATGAAATCTAGAAGGATTTCCAAATTACGGTAGCCCAAAACCAATCTGAGGCCCTGGTTTTGACACTGATGTGGAGTGACATTCACCCTCATGGACATGGGTTGAAAGTTCATTTGTTCGGCACATGTGGACAAGGTTGTGAGGCTGGTCATAATAGAACACACATGAAGCGGGTGACATCAGTGAAGCTTGAGGTGGGACGAGTGACTGCACACAGGGTGATATGCGGTAGGCCCGTAGGGTGGTGACAAGTGCAAGGTTACGGGAGGACAAGGCGCTGGCCGGAGTAGATTCTATTGATGTCACAGACCTGCAGCCAGGCAGAAGGAATGCGGAACGAGTAATGATTATACAGAATAATAATTAACATGCAGCGTATGAGCAACCAGCTACGAGACTACATGGAGCGAAGGGTGTGATGGAAGAAATGTGACGCAAACATATCAGTGAGGACCACGAGGGTAGCAATGCAAAAGCAAATAGAAAGAGAAAAGGGCTTCGTGCGATTATCAGGCGGGTGGTTGGGGAGGGCAGTGGTACCTCTGGGTTGAGCTCAAAGAACTTTGAGGAGGGATTGCAGTAGACTTCGCGCGGGAGGATAGAGCTGAGAGTTTCGCCCGGCTTCACCACCCACACCCTACGTGCGTGGCGTGGAAGGGTGGTAAGCAAGGGAGTGCAAGGTACAGGAAACGAATGAAATTCAGGAGGGGATTGGGGATGTTAAAAGTTCTTACAGGTGGGAGGATAGACTGCAGATGAATGCGCATGGTAAAAATTGTGATGGAGTGGAGGGAAGGGCATGCAAGCAAGAGGGCAACAGAACCAAGGTGTGAATAAAGCCGGAAACGGATAGGGAAGAAGGCAGTGTGGTGGGGGAGGGAGGGAAGGTAGAGCACCACTCACTTGCCATCAGCATCAGTTCTGCAAGTTGGGATTCGAAGATTTGAAGATAGGGATCAGCCAGAGCGTGCAGATTACGATGCCACGATCGCAGCATAGCCAGTGGCCATCGAGCATCCAGAGCCAAATCGAAGTCCATGCAAAGCAGGGTGCAATTGCGAGAAATCGAAGTGATTTAGGATATGGGGTCAATACTCACTCAGCTCACGCTGGGCAACATGAAAGCAATTGATGACCAAAAAGAAGCGATGTGAGGCCATGAAATTCCAACAGAAAATGGGGGCAGCAGTGGTGGTCAGGAAATGCCTATGTGAGATGACATGCCCTGCAGGAATGGGGCCTGTTGGCAGTGCGAAATGCGTGACAGCATGCCATTTGTGGTGGGAGCACGAATCACGCGACTCACTCCAGCTGGACTCGGCTCTGCTTCTGTGGGCGCGGCCAGAGCGCAACCATAGCCAGCATGAACGCGCCCGTCCCCAGCACCTGCTTCATCACCGGCGTGAGCCCATCGCCAACCCGCAACACCTGCCCCAGCAGCCCTCCATTGCGATTCCGCCCCTTGCCAGACAACCCCCTGCCCCTCTTAACCACCTGCCTGTCCGTCATCCCTGATACTGACGACCCTTCCATGCTCTCCACCTCATCCCCGCTCTCCCAGCTGCTCTCTGCGGCTTCGCTGTCTGCCATCGCTGGCTGTCGGCTGCTGCTGCCAACACGGCCATTGAGGTCAGCAGCACCGCCACCGCCTCCTCGCACAGTAGACTGCTCGCTCGCCCTGCCTGTCGTGCTGCTCATAGTGGCCTGCACGGAAGCCCCTGCAGATGCGGCTGCTGCTGAGGCGGCAGCCTTGGTTGAGGTTGAAACTGAGGCAACCTTTGCTGATGTCATGGTTGTGGCTTCACTGGCGACCTGCGTGGCGGTCTTGATGATGGTGACGTCAGTCTTGGTGGTGGTCGCTGATGCCATTTGCTGCAAGCCACATGATCACCAACAAACATGGACGCACAGAGAACGAATCTGTTGACCTAGAAATCACAGCTGGGATATGCTTTGCTACAAAAAAAAATAAAAAAAATTCAGCATATGCATCACAACCCCAAACAACGCAGCCAGCTGCACACGTCTGCCAAACCATGACAATTGCACACACGAGTTTGCACGCACCTGTGCTGATGTGGCCTGAACCTCCTTCTGCACCTCTTTCACCACCTCTACTGTTGCAGTTGCAATCGAGTCAGGACCCTGAACCTGCACCACCTGAGCAGCTTGAGAAACCGAAGCAGCAACAACCTCAGGAACAGAATCCGGGACACCAGTGGAAACCACAGGCGAGGCAGCAGCAGGGACAACAGCTGCAGCGACAGGTGCAGCAGGAGCAACCTGCGCACTGACAGACTCTTCTAGAGACGACTCAGTATAGCCAGACTCGTCATCACTGCCATCAAACACCAGCATCACGTTGGACATATCCACAGGAGCCCCAGCAGCTGCACTCCCTGCAAGCGCTGTAGTCACAGCCACGCTTTCCTTCTGGGCTGCAGCTGAAACGGTACTGGTCGCTGTAGACGCTGTGACTGTGGCGGCTGCAGCGGTTTCAGTTGTCGCAGTTGTGCTAGTAGTGACGGTGGCGGTCGTCGTTGTTGTTGTTGTAGTGGCAGCAGTCACCTCTGTGGTGCTCGCTGCTGCTGTTTCGGTCGCTGTTGAAGCCTTGGAGGCTGCTGGAGCAGTGGACGCAACGGGAGAGGCGAGCACTGCACTGACAGTGTGGGGTGTCACGGTGCCACTGGCGATGGGAGTCACAGTGCCGCTGCTGCTGCCATCCTTGCGCTTGCTCATCGATCTGGCACGCTGTTAACAGGTCACGATTTAAAGCGAGGGGTCAATGGAGAGTGCTGGGACCAATAAGGAATAACGTTACAGATTCCCCTGGAAGGTAGTGCAAAGTAATGGATGAGGAGGAGGGCACTATATATTATATTCGCTCCTCGCATTTGCGAACGGCCTTATTGCTCCATCATGCACCTCGCTATGTTTTGTTGTTTCATGACTAGTGATTACAGTGGAGGACCTGATTTGCTTCAATTGGGATTGACTCACCATAGCCGCAATCTTGGCTCGTTCCTCATCACTGAGCATGAAGTTGGACTTGACATGCACTTGGCCTCCGTTGCTCCATGGAAGCATGTCATCACGAAAGCCTTTTTCCACCACGGAAGGTACAGACAGAGCTGCACGACCACAGTAAGTGCGGAAAAATGAAGAAGAAGAATATGTTACACTTGCTTCGTCTGTTTTCTCAACCTGTCACAACTCCTATACATCTCACCTAGGACTGAGAAGCATGGCAAAAATGTGGGTCTGAAAGCACTCACAAGTCTTGCAAACAGCTACACCACGGGCGTCAAGGAGTGTGAAGACCACAGGATCAGTGAGGTTGAGCACCGCACTGCATCAGAAACGGCATTGTGCAACGTGTAAGAAAAGACACCGTGAACAGACGCAAAGATGATATTCGTTTTCGTTCACACGGCATCAAGAACAGCGTGGGCTCGCAGACATGAAGAGAGGGCGAATATAAACTGGCCGTCTACGCGGAAATATATGCGATCATGAAGAAATAGAGTCAGGAAGTGTTGGGGAATCGTACAAAGCGAAATCTGAGTTGAAAGCCTTGATCGATGACGTTCCTGATCCTGAGGACGTCGACGCTTGCTCATCCGTGGAAAATGATCGCGCTCCGACGGAGACTGCAACATCTCAAATGAATAGTCAGCACCGAAGCTGACCAGCAAATGCAAAACTTTGTGTAAAAGCCGTGTCTTCTTCAGCTCACCTTGAATAGCATACTTCTTTCCTATAATGGTGTTTCGGGTTTGTCGAGACACACAAAGGGAGAAAGCAGAACGTTAGACAGAGCTCGATGGAAGAACTCAGGTCACAATGCTTCCGACAGAAGAGCGACGGAGGTAGAGTCGAAGGATCAGAATAAGAGCTATTGAGTACCTGATGGCCCTGGAAGATCGACGACCTCCAACACTGCAGAATCCCGACAGATGAAAGAACGAAAGAGGTAAATACTATTGATATCACATGACACTACCGCGTCAACAAGAATGCTGGGTGACAGGACAAGGTAACGTTCGCACGCCATAGCGTAAGTGATGGCACTGAAGAATGTCAATCAACTGATAAAGCTTATTTCGGCAACTATGCGTACCTGTGATTCGCACGGTGCCAGGCATGGCTGATTGCAGCTGTCACTAGAGCTTCTCTAACTAAAGCGAGGGTTCAGCCAGAGATGTCACGTGCAGCTTCGGCAATGGTACCAAAAGAAACGACCGCTACAAACAGGTCCCGAGAACGCGCGAAACGTAATCCTCACTGTGAAGCAATGCTTATTTCATAGCACATGACAAGGAGCTCTAAGAGCGTCAGCCCTACAAGCATCAGAATCACTACGCCTGAAGGCTAATGAATCCGAGCTAAAATTATGACTAACACAAATCCAACAGCCGTGACAAACTACCTCAGGGAATATCTGGGAGCACCACAGAAATTAGCGGCAGCGGAAGAGGGTGCCTTTCGAATTGGACGATTACCGTTTGAAAGTTGAGAATTGAAGCTCATGTTTTCGATCGTTGTCAGTGTCACCGTCAACTTTCCTCACGTGTCAGCGGATTTCGCCTGTGCCTTTGACGTTTGCAATCGTGTTTGTGCCAGTCCTAGATGTTTCCGCAATCCCAATGTCCACGTCAGCAAATAGCGATTCGGCATGTGAGCTTTTCTTGTGGGACCACAAATTTGTTTCCCGCCAGCACTTTTCAAACGACCTGTTTCCACATGAGTACTGCAGGAAGAACCTGCAGCAGCAGTATTGGCATCCGTAGTGGGAGCCCTCATTGTCAGTACAAGAATGTAGCCATGTACAGGTGAAAGTATACATCCGCCACGTAGTTATCTCACATTTTTTTGCGAACTAAAACTCCACACCTTCAGCCTGTACAAAGCATGTCTTCATAGTCGTGCTTTCAGGTCCTTGCGCAACACCTTGCCAGAAGCGGTCTTCGGAATTGCATCTACAAAAATCACATCATGTAGCCTCTTATATGTCGCCACCTGCATCAAAACCAAATAACATGACATCCTTGTGCGATCCCTGCATGAATACGTGAAATGAACTGTGCATTTACTAGTCGCGCTCACCTGCTTGCTGATGAAATCCTTGACTTCTTTGACTGACAGCTTGGCACCACCTTGACTTAACACAACAAATGCCACCGGCACCTCCCCACTCTCTTCACTTGGGGCACTGTGAAAGGTGGAAAGGAGAAAAAAGGTGCAGGGTTTGATGCAAATCGACCCATAAAACAATCGAAGGCATGATACCGCCATACTGCCGAAAAAATATAGCAGCCACAGCTATAATGCAGAAGAAAACGAGCCAGTGAGAGAGCGGCAAGCAGGGCAAGAGAAGCGAGAGCATGGAAGCCTATGGAACAACTGCAGCACTGGCAATGTCAGGATGGCTTTTGAGGCGCCTAAAAAAACCTCAAAATTTTTTAGGCGCTTTAGAAGGGCAAGAGAGGGAATAGCATGGAAGCGTACGGAACAACTGCAGCATCTGCAATGTCGGGATGGGCAATGAGCAGGCCCTCCAGCTCCGCAGGAGGCACCTGGAGAGCAAGAACTAGAATGAAGAGAGACAAGTCAGAAATGCATTGTAGCCAGCATAAACTCCCAAGCAATACAAATAGCACCTCAAAAGGACCAACCAGTAAGTCGGTTCCAAAAAGCCGTGCACCGGTGGCACATCCGATGCCTTATTTATCCTTGTCCGCCTACGGTGCAGGTACGTACAACAGTCACACATTGCATCCCATCTGGAAGTCCTCACCTGGGAGCCCTGGACTTTGATGCGCTCCTTGACTCGATCCACCACAAATATCTTCCCCCGGCCATCCACATAAACCACGTACCCCTTCAAAACAAACGCACTCACTACAGTCACACCTCATTAGAGCACCATTCTCTACAGCCACATCCCACCTGGAAGCCCTTGACTTTGATGAGCTCCTTGACCCGGTCAACCACAAAGATCTCCCCTGCCCAATCCACGTAGGCCACGTCCCCATTCGAAACACATTTTCTACAGCGCCACTCGCTACAGTCACACCCCACCTGAAAGCCTTTCACTTTGATGAGCTCTTTGACCCTGTCCACCACAAAGATCTCCCCCATCTTGTCCACATATGCCACGTCCCCCGTGCGCAGCCAGCCGTCCGGCGTGATTGTGGCTGCTGTCGCCTCGGGATTGTTCAGATAGCCTTGTGGAGAGAAGCAGGCAGAATGGAGGGCATGAGGGATATGGGGGAAATTTTGATTGGGGGGGATATAGAGATAGGGTGGAGAGGGGTGAGGGGGGGGGGGGGGGAGGAGAAGGGGATCGCTGAAATGGCCATTGGTTGAAAAGGGGACTGGTGGTTGAAGGGAGGTGAAGCGTTGAAAAGGGAAAACAGTAATGGGAAAGATTCAGACTCACGTCTGAACCTGTGGAGCTAAGGAACCGCACCCTTCAAGACCTGCACCCAACTTCCAAGCCATCACACCCACAGACAACCACACCTACACACGCTCACTCCATACAACCACCCATCTAAACCCACCCACCACCCTCTTCGCTCCCCCACACCTGCCTTTCATGACCTGTGGCCCTCGCACCCAGAGCTCTCTCTTTCATTTGGCGGCATCGACTCCCCTGTGCTTGTGTCCACCACCTCTCTCGTGGCCCCTTCACCTCCACCAGCAGCAGCACCCACCCACACGCCCCTGGCGCGGACCACACTCCCCTGAATTTCTGGATGCCTGGGGGTGCTCCTGAACTCGCACGACTCAGACACACAGGCACACACACGCACAGAGACACACAAGCGCACCCACCTTTCATGACCTGCGGCCCTCGCACCCGAGTTACCCTCTCTCTCATTTTGAGGCAGCGACTGTGGCAGCCCCGACCCACACGAGCCTCTCTCGCACCCGTGCTCGTGTGCACCACTTTGACTTCCGTCAGTGGCAGCACCCACCCACACGACCCGGGAGCAGGCGGGGTACCTGAAAGCACAAATCCACACCCACAGACGCGTGCACCTACCTTTCATGACCTGTGGCCCTCGCACCCAGAGCTCCCCTCTCTCATTCGGCGGCAGCGACTCCCCCGTGCCCGTGTGCACCACCTTCACCTCCGTCAGCGGCAACACTGACCCACACGACCCGGGAGCGGGTGGGTGGGGCACGCGGGCAAAGAGGCGCGAGGCAGTGACGGTGGGTGAGGCCTCTGTCATGCCATAGCCCTGAGGGGCGGGAAGGAGAAATGGAAGGAGAGGAGGAGAAGAAGGAGTTTCTGAGTCACCCATTTTGAAAGGGGGGCGCCTCAGTCATCATTGCTGTGAGGGGCGAGAGGGGAGGCGAGAGTGGAAATTGGAGGATGAATGGGGAGTTAGAGGCTAGAGGAAGGGAGGACTGGATTGAAGGGGAGACGGTGGGGAGGGACTCTGTCATGCTGTAGCCCTGGGGCGAGAGGGGAAGAGCACTACACTTACCCCAGCTGCACCCTCCCCAGCTGCAGTTACCCCATATCTACCCATTCCTGCCCCAGGCATATCTGCCCCATATCTACCTGACGCCGTGTCCCCGGCCCACCTGCCCCAGCTGCACGGTGGGAAACTTTGCTCTGAAGGCGGTCTCAAGCTCCGCCCCCAGGGGAGCCGCGCCTGACACGACCCGGCGCAGCGAGGAGAGGTCAAAGGAGTCGACGAGGGGCAGCTTGGCCATGGCTAGGATGATGGGCGGCACGATGGGCGCGACGGTTATTTTGTATTCCTGCAGTGTTCGCAGGTACTGGTGCAGGTCGAACCTGGGGGGGGGGAGGGGCAGGGGTAGGGAGGGCAGGGAGGGAGGGGAGTTGAATGTTCATTCTCTGGCTTTCCGTTCTCATGCACCAGAGCTCGCAGGTACTCCAAGCAGGGGATCGGACCGAACCTGCGGAGGGGAGAATGACGACCCGGCGTAGGGAAGAGAGGTCAACGGAGTCAAGGGAGTCAAAGGAGTCAACGAGGGGCAGCTTGGCCATGGCGAGGATGATGGGCGGCACGATGGGCGGCACTGTGACTTTGTAATCCTGCAGTGTTTGCAGGTACTGGTGCAGGTCGAACCTGGGGCGGGGGGGCGTGAGGCAAGGGTAGGGAGGGCGGGGAGGGTGGCAACCTGGGGCGGGGTGACAATGACAACGCAATTTCATTCTCAGGGTTCTCAGTTTCACCAACCAGGTTTGTTCTCCGGGGAAACTCAAAGATCGTCCCCGACAGGATATGTGAAGGCAGGAGAGGTCAAAGGAGTCAAGGGAGTCAACGAGGGGCAGCTTGGCCATTGCCAGGATGATGGGCAGGTGGGGAGAGTGGGCAGGGTGGGACGGGTGGGAAGGGAAAAGGCCCTGACTCAATTCGCAGCAGCCCAAGCACTGTGCGTGGGGGGCCCAAGTCCACCTGGGGAGGGTGACTGTCTGTCAGTAGCTGCTGTTGCAGGTGTTGTTGCAGGTGTTGTTGCAGGTGTTGTTGCAGGTGTTGTTGCAGGTGCAGGAGGGTTTAGCTGGGGAGGGTGACTGAAACGCACCTGGGGAGGGTGACTGAAACGCACCTGGGGAGGGTGACTGAAACGCACCTGGGGAGGGTGACTGAAACACACCTGGGGAGGGTGACTGAAACGCACCTGGGGAGGGTGACGACACATGACCCCCCACGGAGCGAGAGGAGGTTGACGAGGGTGATGGCGAGAGGTCGTGAGCAGCAGCCCCAACACCACATCGTGAGGAGACAGGTCCAACTGCGGGTTGGTCCCTGCCAGCGGCTGCTGGTGCAGCAGGTGCAGGAAGGTTTACCAGATGAGGGTCGGGTGCAACATACCTGGGGAGGGTGACGACACAGGCCCCCCCACGGAGGGAGAGGAGGTTGACGAGGGTGATGGCGTAGATGTGGAACATGGGCAGCAGCCCCAGCACCACGTCCTCCCCACACAGGTCCAGTCGCGGGTTAGTCCCCGCCAGCAGCTGCTGTACGTTGGCTATGAGGTTGCGGTGGGAGAGCATGACGCCTTTAGACACGCCCGTAGTGCCTGATGAGTAGGGCAGTGCGCACGTGTCGTGCTGGGAGGGTACCACTGCTGCTGTTGGTGGTGCTTTTGGTGCTGTGACAGAGGGGTGGTGTTGCTGTTGCTGATGGGTCGTGTGAAGGTGTTGTCGCTGTGATCGGATCTTGGACCCGTTGCCATGGAGCAAGCGGTCGATGCTCATGGTGCCCGGGGGGTTGGAGCTGCTGCTGCTGCTATCATTATTGATGACGACAAAGACAATGGACTGGCCTGTCTTGACGTGATGCACCTTCTCTGGAGGGTCATGGAAGAGGGGTCATGGAGGAGGGGTCATGGAGGAGGGGTCATGGAGGAGGGGTCATGGAAGAGGGGTCATGGAAGAGGGGTCATGGAAGAGGGGTCATGGAGGGGGTGAGAATGGAGGGGGTGAGAATGGAGGGGGTGAGGGTGGAAGGGTGTGAAGGTAGAGTGGAGGGGTGTGATGTGAGTGATTAATGCTGCAGCAGATACATCATACATGGCATTGCAGCAGTCGCACACGTGGGGTGGCATGGCATTTCAGAACGTTGCGTAGCGTCACCTGTCCTCACACACACTCTGCCAAGCAGCTCTCGCAAACGTACCCAACCCAGCAGATTGATGATTATGACCAGACCATCCATGTAACCAGCAGTTGTAGTCAATTTAAGTCAAGTCAAGTCAATTCGCACCTAACAGCTCTGGCGAGGTGATGACCATTCGTGCCCCTGGTGGGACACCATCCGGTGGGACACCATCCGGTGGGACACCATCTGGTGGGACACCATCTGGTGGGACACCTCGCGAGGATTGGAGACCTGTCTGGCGAGACACCCTCCTGTCCTGACCACCGTAAAGCACATGCACCTACTAATGAAGCAGAGTCGTACGCACCTAGCAGCTCTGGCGACGTGATGACCATGCGTGCCCCTGCGTCCACCATCTGGTGTGCCAGCTCGCGAGCGCTGTAGGCGGGGTTGGCGGTGGTTACCACTGCACCCGCTGCGATGATCCCGAGGAAGAGCACCACGTACTCTGGCATGTTGGGGAGCAGCAGTAGGACGGACTCGCCGGGACTGCATGGGGAGGGAGATAGGGATCGAGTGGGGTAGAGTGGAGGAGGGAGGACAGCAGGAGATGGGAGTAAGGTGCTGCGATGATCCCGAGGAAGAGCACGGCATACTCGGGCATGTTGGGGAGCAGCAGTAGGACAGACTCGCCGGGACTGCATGGGGAGGGAGATAGGGGTCGAGTGGGGTAGAGTGGAGGAGGGAGGACAGCAGGAATGGGAGTAAGGTGCTGCGATGATCCCGAGGAAGAGCACGGCATACTCGGGCATGTTGGGGAGCAGCAGTAGGACGGACTCGCCAGGAATGCATGGGGGAAAGCAGGAGGGATACGGGGGGTGGGGAGAAAGAGTGGGACATGGTGGGTTTGACTTAAGGAGGGTTGCCGCCGGTGGTTACCACCGCACCCGCTGCGATGATCCCGAGGAAGAGCACTGCGTACTAGGGCATGTTGGAGTGGAGCAGCAGCACAGACTCGCCGGGCCTGGTAGGGGGTAAACATGGGTCGGGGGGATTTGGATGGCAGGGGGGGGTAGTAGCAGGAGATGGAAGTAAGGTGCTGCGATGATCCCAAGGAAGGGAACGGCGTACTCTGGCATGATGGGGAGGAGCAACATCACAGACTCGCCGGGACTGCATGGGAAAAGGTAGGGGTGGGTGGGTGGTAAAGTATGGAGGACCAGAAGGAGGGGATGGATGGGTATATTTGTGACAAGTTTCGAGGGACAGTGGCTGGTGGGTATTATTAAGTTGAATCAAGAATGCCCTCAGACGGGAAAAATGGATGCCAAGAGCCTTTACAAAAACCTTATTCATTGTTGTCAACGGCTTTATAAACGGGAAGGTGGTTCTACTCAAACATGTTAAGCTGCCATGCGATTCTGTATTCCTTGTTTGTTTCTATGACTTTAATCGTTCAGTTGCTTCCATTTTCTTGTCAAGAAAAGAACAACAGAGGAACGGGTGATTGATTAGCGGACGAGTGACAGAGAGTGCAAGACAGAGGATCCACGGATCAGAAAGGAAAATGGCTGGAAGGACGACTGAGGAGGAGGGAGGGATAGAGCCGAAGATGTTCCTTCTTATGTTCAACCACGTTTGCACGACGAAGAGAGAGGATCAGAGGAGAGGACAGTACCGGATGCCGAGATCGATGATGCCAGCAGCCACGTTGTACACGAGCTCGTCCACCTGCTCGCACACAGGAAATAGGAAGGCTAATGTGAGTGTGACATGCCATGGCTGCATGTCAGTTGCACTACGAGCCTTGAGGCGATTCAGAGAGCAGCCACGTTGGTCGGACCGACAACGCGCTAGTCGACCATTTTGGTCCGACCATGCGCGGACCCTAGCTTGTTAGCCTTCCTGTTTCCTGGGTTCAGCTTGTTAGCTCGGACCAACAAGCTAGTTGTTAGCTCGTGTGCAACAAGCTAGTTGGTCCACCTGTTCGCACACAGGAAACAGGAAGGCTAACACATTTGAAAATTCTCAGAAGTGATTCCCAAATGTGTGACATGTCCATGCGAGTCACATGCAGTACGAGCCTTGTCGCATTTCAACGAGCAGCCACGAACGAAATACACACGGCTCGTACTGCATCTGACTCACGCACGAACGAAGTACACGAGCTCCTCCTCGTGCAAGCACACGGGAGAGGACATAGATGCCACTTGCATTGTCGTCGAACAATTGATAAGTGATTGTTCGTTGTCCCCTCGTGTGATCAACTAATGATTGATGATCCGAGGGAATTCGACCGTTTTGGTGGAGCGAGAAAGCTCTCTCATTTCATGATCACCTGCAGAACAGATTGAGGGAAGAAAGCTCTCTCATTTCATGATCACCTGCAGAACAGATTGAGGGAAGAAAATACTGAATGCACCTAGGGAGTGTCGCCTGAATGCACCTAGGGAGTGTCGCCTGAATGCACCTAGGGAGTGTTGCCTGAATGCACCTAGGGAGTGTCGCCTGAATGCACCTTGGGAGTGTCGCCTGAATGCACCTAGGGAGAGTCGCCTGAATGCACCTACTAGGAGAATTCAACTGGAGTAATCTGGGCAATAAGCCACTAAGAACACGTCATTTGAGCGTAAGTCGTCTGAAAACACGTCATTGAACACGCCATTTGAGTGTAAGTCATCTGAAAGCACGTCATTGAACACGTTGAGTGTAAGTCATCTGAAAACACGTCATTGAACACGTCATTTGAGTGTAAGTCATCTGAAAGCACGTCATTGAACACGTCATTTGAGTGTAAGTCATCTGATAACACGTCATTGAACACGTCATTTGAGCGTAAGTCATCTGAAAACACGTCATTGAACACGTCATTTGAGCGTAAGTCATTGAAAACACGAAACTGGGGAGCGACTCATGAGGATACATCATCAGAGCAGACTTGAATGCACCTAGTGATTTTCGAGTGAAATTACCTAGAGATGGTCGGCTGAGCATACGCGAATTCACCTATCGAGTGTCATCTGTGCGTGAATTCACCTAGGGAGTGACGACTGAACCTACCGAGGGAGGGAGAGTCACCTGAGCGAACGTGAGCGCGCGGCCCGTGACTCCGTCGACGAACGCGCGTCTGTCGGCCCATCGCGACGCATTCTCGAGCGCGAATTCCGGGAGGAGAACGTCATTCGGGACAGTCACGCCCGCCTCGTCTGGACAACGATAGATGATCTCCATGCTCGGAGAAAAATGGAGGCCACCTGGAGAGATACAGTCCCTACGACACTCCAGTAATGTTAGCTATTATTTTTGTATTTTTTTGGCTCACAACTTTTTTGTTTAAGCTTCGACGCGCGCATCTAGTGTAGTGGTATCATACCCTCCCACGGTACTGACCGGGGTTCGATTCTCCGGATGCGCAGATATCGCCTCCTGTTTTTTCCGTCGAGTTCTTGAGCAGCATTCTCAACCCATTCTCATCTTCTCCGTTTCCCGCGCGCCAGTCCCCGTCATTCCGTTTCCCAGCGACCCGCTTTTTTTAATCGCCAACCTCGCTCCACAGCCTTGCCGCTCCGTCCGCATCGCAGCAGCAGCCTATTTCACACCGTCGCATGGCGTCGTGAGTGAACCCTAATTCGCCTCGCCTGCTGTCACTGCCGCTTATACACTAGCTGCTTTTTGGAGTCGACTAGAAATCGATTCTACCCTCGCTGTCTGTCCGAGACTCTCGTCTCCCCCGCGTGCCAACGTTAATGCCTCAACCTCTTACTTACCCGTCCTTAGTCTCCTTCCCAGGCATCCGCTTGCCCCGCACCCGGTCACCTGCGAGCCGCCCGCCGGCCAACATTTCCCATCTTCCCCCCCATCCCTCCAACACTCCCCTGCCAACACTCCCCTGCCAACACTCCCCTGCCTCCACACCCCTCAAACTCACCTGCCCTTCCCCCCACCCTCCCCCCTGCAGGCGGTCGTCTGTGAACCGCCCGCCGACCCCCCCCTCCCCCCGTACCCCTCAACCCCCTCTAAACTCACCTGCCCTTCCCCCCACCCTCCCCCCTGCAGGCGGTCTTCAGTCAACCGCCCGCCAACGCCTGAGCCAGAGGGGCGGGTGGGGGGAGGAGGGGAGCCCACGTCGCTGCGACAAGTGGTGGACGCTAAAGTACGGTGTGTGTCTGTGTGAGGGTGTGTCTGTGTGAGGTTGTGTCTGTGTGAGGGTGTGTCTGTGTGAGGTTGTGTCTGTGTGAGGTTGTGTCTGTGTGAGGTTGTGTCTGAGTGAGGTTTGGGACTTTAGCGAGGTGTGCGACTCTTTAACAAAGTGTGGGACTTTAACAAGGTGAGTGACTCTCTAGCGAGGTTTGTTGGTGACCCCAGAGGGGTGTGTGACTGCAGCAGGCTGTGTGGTGAAACGTCGCGATTGAGTCAAAAAGAGAGTCCGACGACTGACAAACCCCCTTTCTTCTTCGCTCTCGAATGTCCCTCCTCCCTCCCCTCTTCGCCACACACAGCTGTGGGAGATTGGAGAGAAGGAGCAGCTAAAGACGTTGCCAAGAGACGGGCTGGAGGAGTGCGGGTGGGCTGATGGCCTCGCTTCCTTACCTTCTCCTTATCCCTCCCTCCTCCTTCCTCCTTCCTCGCTTGCTTATGCCTCCCTCCGCTCGCTTGCTTATGCCTCCCTCCGCTCCTCCCTTATGCCTTCCATCTCTCTTACCGCCCCACACAGCTATTAGAGAGAGTGGGGAGAAGGAGCGACTCAAGAGCTGCCGAGAAGCAGGCTGGAAGAGTGCGGGTGGACAGACGACCTTCCTCCCTTTCGCTCCCTTCTTGATCCCTCCCTTCTCGCTCCTTTCTCCTTCCTCATGCCTCCCTCCTCCTTCACCTCTCACCACACAGCTGTTGGAGAGTGGGGAGAAGGAGCGATTAAAGACCCTGTTGGAGGACAGACTGGAGGAGTGTGGGTGGACAGACGACCTGCTGGTCTACGCCAGGTGAGTGGGTAGCCCGGTGGGTGGGTGGTGGGCAGGGTGCAGGTTGTTTCTGAGAATTCTCAAAAACAACCTGCAACATCATGGGTGGGTGGTGGGCAGGGTGCGTGGGTGCTATGCCAAGCTCAAGGCACTACTGAGGGGCAGACTGGAGGAGTGTGGGTGGGCGGACGACCTTCTGGTCTACTACGCCAGGTGAGTTAGTGGCTGGGTGGGTGATTGCCAGGTGGGTGTTTAGCCGGGTGGGAGTTTAGCCGGGTGGGTGTTTAGCCGGGTGGGTGTTTAGCCGGGTGGGTGTTTAGCCGGGTGGGTGTTTAGCCGGGTGGGTGTTTAGCCGGGTGGGTGTTTAGCCGGGTGGGTGTTTAGCCAGGTGGGTGTTTAGCCAGGTGGGTGTAGCCGGGTGGGTGTTTAGCCGGGTGGGTGTTTAGCCGGGTGGGTGTTTAGCCGGGTGGGTGTTTAGCCAGGTGGGTGTAGCCGGGTGGGTGTTTAGCCGGGTGGGTGTTTAGCCGGGTGGGTGTTTAGCCGGGTGGGTGTTTAGCCGGGTGGGTGTTTAGCCGGGTGGGTGTTTAGCCAGGTGGGTGTAGCCGGGTGGGTGTTTAGCCGGGTGGGTGTTTAGCCGGGTGGGTGTTTAGCCGGGTGGGTGTTTAGCCGGGTGGGTGTTTAGCCGGGTGGGTGTTTAGCCGGTTGGGTGTTTAGCCGGGTGGGTGTTTCGCCGGGTGGGTGTTTAGCCGGGTGGGTGTTTGGCTTGGTTAACTCATGTGCAGACGTCCTCTGGAGGTGCCTATTGGCAATGTTTTTCCACCGGGCGTTTGTAATTCTCCGTGTGGCATGTGGATGGTGCAATTCAGTGCAGTGGCCTGCACGCATGCATGCATGCCTCCCCTCTGACCCTTACCCTCTCTCTCCCTCTCTTGTCTGTTGGTCCGGCCATCTATCAGAGCATATGTGAGCAAGGTTGGGTGTCCACGTGTATGAAGATTTGTTTTGAGACGTCTCAAAACAAATTCTCTGTGTGGCATGTGGATGGTGCAATTCAGTGCAGTGACCTGCACGCATGCATGCCTCCCCACTGACCCTTACCCTCTCTCTCCCTCCCTTGCCTCGTGATCCGGCCATCCATCAGAGCATATGTGAGCAAGGTTGGCCGTGAAAACTTCTTATTGCATGAACTCATGTGGGCGTGTGGAATGTGGCTCGTGCTGTGCAGTGACCCGCACGCATGCATGCCTCCACACTTACGCTTACCCTCTCTCTCCCTCTCTTGTCTGTTGGTCCGCCCGTCCATCAGAGCATATGTGAGCAAGGTGGGACGTGAAAACGTCTCATTGGAGGAGGTGATACGGGCCATCACACCCAAAGGCCGAGGTGTGTGGAAGGGAGGAGGGGTGTGTGCCTCGTTTCTCTCTACTATGCGATTGAAGGAGTGTTTTTAGACGTCTCAAAACACTCCTTCAATCACGTGGTGTGTGCCTCGATTCTCTTTACTATGCGATTGAAGGAGTGTTTTTAGACGTCTCAAAACACTCCTTCAATCACGTGGTGTGTGCCTCGATTCTCTTTACTATGCGTGCGCATGGTGTGTGGAGGGCAGGGGTGTGTGTGTGCTTGATTCCTTGACTTCTATTATACTGGTATTAGTTTTCCTCTTCTTGTGAGCAACTTATGTTTTCTCTGCTCGTCATCCACATGTGTTTCAATAGAATGGCTTTATCAAAGCATCTACAGTACGGTAGGTGGTATCCTGAGTGTCACCCTGACTGAACTTATGAGTGGCTTTGTGAACGACTTCTCTGGCGGGACTTACTGTACCTACTGCAACCATCCACACCACACACCCGATGTTCTCTAAATGCTGACCTGCATGTGTGTTGGATTTCATGTGCTGCCATGTGCTGCCATGTGGCGCCATGTGGTGCCATGTGCTGACATCAGCATCTGTGCCAGGACCAGTGAAGGCGGAGCTGCTTCAACGCATTCAGTCCTTCCTCACTACCAAGTGACTCGCTACAAAGAAACTCACTAAAAATTGACCATCTTTTATATGGTGACTCGTTATTACGGTAACCAATCTGACAGACTTCTAACGGAGCTTCATGTTGTATTATAGGGGCTATAACAATGTTTCTTTCAGCAGTGTTGAGTGCAAACAGTTTTTTTTGGAAACAAGAACAATGAAGATTACTTGAAATAACATTTGTGCATATTATACGAGTGTAACCATCCAAACTGCTACTTTGCACAGAAATCCCTTGACGTGTTTTAGAGAGGAGCACATGCTGCATTGGTACAGAAGTCACTTGTACGAACACAGCCAAAGGCAGAAGTGGGAACCAATAAGCAGGATAGCCAAGAGAGACAAGTGAAAGGCTGTTTGGTTCGACATGGTAGGAAACAATTGCTCCAGTTGCTGTTGCTTTGCAGTTATGAGGCAGCTTATAAGTTGCCTTAAAAAAACTGATTGGTGCTACCTATGCGTACGAATTACTCTGGTTGCTGTAGGTCTGCACTCTGCAGTTACAGCAGAGTTGCGCGTTTTGAGACGTCTCAATACAGCAGAGCCTGCTGATGCCATGGATGGAGCTGGGGAAGGGAGGGGGAGAGAGAGGGAGGAGGAGAAGGCGGGGCAAGTGGCGGGGCGGCAGAGACATTGAAGTAGGAGGTGTAGCGCTCGTCTCTCAGTTCTGAGATGGGCTACAACAGGAACTCCTGTGAGGCTCCCCTTGCAATGAAGGAGCAGCGCTCTCAGTATGAGGGGGATGGAGCAGGCGAGGGTGGTGAGGGAGGAGGAGCGGGAGAGGGAGGGGGGGAGGGTGGGGGCGAGGGTGGGGCAGGAGGCGGGGCGGTGGTGACATTGAAGTAGGAGGTGTAGCGCTCATCTCAGCTCCGATATCGGTTACAGCAGGAAATCCCGCGTGGCTCCCTTTGCAATGAAATTTCGGTGCTTTCAGTACGAATGGGATGGAGCAGGAGAGGGTGGTGAGGGAGAAGGAGCGGGAGAGGGAGGAGATGGGGGAGGCGAGGGCGGAGCGGTAGGAGTAGTAGCAGAGACATTGAAGTAGGAGGTGTAGCGCTCATCTCTCAGCTCTGAGATGGGCTGCAGCAGGAAGTCCCGCGTGGCTCCCTTGGCAACGAAGCTCATGGCGCTGCCTGCTGCCAGGCCCTCATGGACAGAGAAGAGCACCGAGGGAGAAGAAAGCGGGAGAGGAGGGGCCAAGGAAATGGACGGTTTTCCTGCGTGTTGAACCATGAGGCTGGCTGCTGTGCTGCCACTGGCAAGACTGCTGGCACTTCCACGGCTGCTGCCACCGTCCAGAGAAATAACCCACTCGGGGCAGTCTGCCAGCTCCAACCTCACCACTTCCACTCTCGGCCCTTCCAGCTGCAACCCTTCCCTGCTGCCCTCCTCCTCCCCGGCAACGAGTCGGAAGACAGAAGCCCGCCCATCCTGGCATGCACCCATTACTCCAGTCGTCTCAGCCTTGCCTCCCTGCAGCATGTCACTCCGGCACGCATCCATCTCACTCCTCGTCTGCCACACCACCCTCCACGTCTCTCCACCTGACCCTGACGCTGCTGCTGCTGCTGCTGCTCCCTCACCCACCTCCCCCTCCCCCTCTGTGCGCCCCGCACTACCCACACCGCACCAGTCCACGGCCAGGAAGCTTCCAGGAATCTCCAGCGGCTCGAGAGAGATCTCCCGGCCAATCAGAGCAGCCATACCGCCGCTGTCCCACCGCCACTCCTCATCCTCCTTCTCTCCTTGCTCCCACCGCTCTCCCTGTTCTCCATTCCCTGCCTCTTCCTCCTCACCTCTTCCCTTCAGAATCAAACCATTGTCCCCTCCCTTTCTTTCCACCGGCCTTCTCACTCTGAACGTTGCTGACATGGCCTCCTCTGTTCCCTCTCCTGGCCTGCCACCTGTCAGCCCAGCCACTAAGGGATTGCCACGTGTGCCACCTGCCATTGGCTGCGTCTCATTGCTCCGTCGCCAGACAACATACATCTCAGCGCTCTCATCACTGCCACTGGCACTCTCATCGCCGTCTTGCCCCTGCTGACGTGGCAGCTGATCTGGCAGCTGACGTGGTGGTGCGAACAGCGACAGGGAGATCAGCTGCTGGTTGAGCACCTCAGGGTCCACAGGCCGGATCCACGTGGCAGGGTGTGACGGGTCGAAGCCCGGAATGAGCTGGCGATCGCCGTCCGTTAGGCCGACTAGTAGATGCGGACCAAAGAGGATGGAGTGGAGTGAAGCGTATTGGGGGCGGTCGTCTGGGGCATGGGAGGAATGGGGAAAAAACAGGGGAAGAGAGAACGGGAGGGTGGATGGGGTTTGGCGATCGCCGTCCGTTAGGCCGTCTAGGAGATGCGGACCAAAGAGGATGGAGTGGAGGGAGGCGTACCGGGGGCGGTCGTCTGTGGTAAGGGTGGAAGGGGTGGAAGGTAGAATGGGGGAATACAGGTTTCAGTGAGGAAGGGAAGGTGGATGGGGTTTGGCAATCGCCGTCTGTTAAGCTGAAGAGGACGGAGTGGAGCGAAGAGTACTGGGGCCGGTCGTCTGTGGCGAAGAGTACTGGGGCCGGTCGTCTGTGGCGAAGAGTACTGGGGCCGGTCGTCTGTGGCGAAGAGTACTGGGGCCGGTCGTCTGTGGCGAAGAGTACTGGGGCCGGTCGTCTGTGGCATGGAAGCAACGGAAATGGGGTAGACGGGAGGGTGGGTGGGATCAGGGAAAGCCCTGGCGATTCCCGTCTGTTAGGCCGACTAAGAGATGTGGGCCGGAGAGAATGGAGTGAAGCGAGACGTACTGGGAGCGGTCGTCTGTGGCAGGGAGAAGGAGGCAAGTGGAAGAGGGCAACAATATGGGGGGGGAGTGAGGTGGATGAGCAGATCGTGTGTTAGGTTGATTAGATGTTGAGGGGTGAAGGGGATGGCGTGGAGCGAGGCGTATTTGGGACGGTCGTCTGTAGCATGGGAGAGGAGAAAGGTGACGGGGATGACAACAGGAGAGTCTGCGTTGAGTTGAGAATAAGGGGTGTGAGTGAGTATGTTGAGATGAGGCGAATGCCATCTGGTAGTCTGTGAGTGAAGGTGGAAGGGGAGGAAGTGGAACAATGCGTGTGAGGGAGGGAGGTGGTGTGAGTGTGTGTGTGTTTAAGTGGTCCACACTTGAATCCCTGCTTCGAGCCTGTTGCATTGTGCTTGCAGTGCAGGGCACAGGTGATGGTGCGGGAGATGGCATGGAACGGTTTTTGAGGCGCCTCAGAGATGGCATGGATGGTCAAGATGTGCACGGGTGAATCTTCATCGCCAATGCAGACCGCTCGCTGCATGAGGGAGGTGGCGCCCGGATGTTCAAGAAGGTCATCCTTGAAAATCACTTTTGAAAACTCTCAGGAGTGATTTCCTTCCATGCGTCCAGATGTTCAAGAAGGTCATCCTTGAAAATCACTTGTGAAAACTCTCAGAAGTGATTTCCTTCCATGCGTCCGGATGTTCCAGAAGGTCATCCTTGAAAATACTTTTGAAAACTCTCAGAAGTGATTTCCTTCCATGCGTCCGGATGTTCAAGAAGGTCATCCTTGAAAATCGCTTTTGAAAACTCTCAGAAGTGATTTCCTTCCATGCGTCCGGATGTTCAAGAAGGCCATCTCCCTCACGCCGCAAAGGGGAGAAGGCCATTCCTAAATCTCAGCTCACCTTGAATGCGCTCCACACGGAGCGTGAAGGAGATGTTGAGAGCGATGACGTCACCCTCCCTCCACCCCCTCCGCACTCGCAGGAACTTTCCTGGAAGAGACGGGGATTGAGGAATTGCAGAGGGGTCAGAATACAGAAGAAGCAGCAGAAAGCAGGGGCGGCAAGGGGGGTGGCAGAACAAAGACATAGGGGACAACACGGGAAGGGAGTGGTGGGCACAAATTGGTGGGCCAAGAAGGGATGGTAGTGGCAGCACATAGGGCGGCGACGAAAAAAAAATAATAAAAAACAAAAAACAAAAAGCAAAACAAAACTTGAGACATGCCAAAACATCTTTATCGTCATGCGCATGGGTGACCCTTGAGTCGACTCAAAAGCCACTTCCCAAAACATCTTCATCGTCACGCACGTTGGTGGGCACAGAAGGGATGGTGATGTCAGCAAATAGGACGGCGATGCAACACATGATTGAAGTGTTGACTGAGGAAGGTGGTACCAGCTCTCAAACAAAGGAAACGGATAGAAAGCTGCAAGCTCGGTTCGACCGACCAACTTGGGTTTGGAAGGTGGTACCTGGCTTGGGGCATGGCAGCCTGGCGCCATTGAGAGTGGCTGCGCAGTGTGGGGTGGAACCGGAAGCAGAGGTAGCGGCAGCAGCCCATGAGGGGATGCGGAGAAACACCTCTGCTGCTGCACCGTCTGCTACCGCACTGCCTGCCGTTGCACCGTTTGCTACCACACTGCCTGCTGCTGCCGCCACTCCTTCTGCTTCCTCTACCCCTTCCCCCGTTGCCTGTCCACTCTCTCCCTCCCCTCCCCCTGATGCTGCCCCCTCTGCTTCTGCTCCCTCTGCTCTCCCTGTTGCCGCTCGACCACCCTCCTCGTTCCCCCCCTTCCAAGGAATCACTGCCAGCTGGACCTCCAGGATCGGTCGGATGGAGGAGGGCCACGTGGCAGTCATCTGGAGAGCCAGCTGTGCGGACTGCCACGTCAGCACGCTGGAGACGAACTGGGCCACGTACAGGCGAGGAACGGAGGAGGATCTTGACGTGGCAGAAGAAGAAAAGACACGCTGCCTGTCGGTGTTATTCCGCCAGCTGTCCTTGACTGGAGACTCAAAGTAAATAGAATCTCCAAGCTTTGCAAAGGACTCGATGCCTGCATGGGTGTGAGGCAGGAAAAGACAAGAGAGCACACAAATCAAATAAATGAACAGCGCATGAATCAACTCTTCTGTGCCACCCTGCCTATATTGGAGTCACCTTTAACAATTTAGAACAGAACCTTAAAAGGGTCTAATGCAAATCATCTCTCTTATGCCATCCATACAAGCACCACACAGCACCCACACCCACACCCACCCACCACACCCCATCCCACCCCACCCCACACCACCACACCCCACACCACCACAGTGCATGAAACCCATGAAAGCTCCAGCGTAGCCCCTCTCACCCGTGCCGTAGCAGCACCAGAAGGAGTCGAAAGGCGTGCCCCAGCCGTGGTAACCGCGTGCCTTGCTGTTCCCTGGTCCGTGCGGTAGCATGTATGTCATCACTCCTGTAGGAATTGGGGGGGAGGGGAGGGGAAGAGGCAGAGATAAGGTTGCGTCAGGGGAGAACAAGGGTGTCTAAGGCTTGCCCCATCCGTGGTAACCACGTGCCTTGCTATTACCTGCTCCGTACGGTAGCATGTTGTCATCACGTCTATAAAGTGTTTACGAAGTGTCCATGATGCGCACTGAACGTGCCCAGCGCCCCATGCACCATGCACCATGCCCCATGCACCATGCACCATGCCCCATGCACCATGCACCATGCACCATGCCCTATGCACCATGCACCATGCCCCATGCACCATGCACCATGCACCATGCACCATGCACCATGCCCCATGCACCATGCACCATGCACCATGCCCTATGCACCATGCACCATGCACCATGCCCTATGCACCATGCACCATGCCCCATGCACCATGCACCATGCACCATGCACCATGCCCTATGCACCATGCACCATGCCTCTGCACCATGCACCATGCACCATGCCCTATGCACCATGCACCATGCACCATGCACCATGCCCCATGCACCATGCACCATGCACCATGCCCTATGCACCATGCACCATGAACCATGCACCATGCCCTATGCACCATGCACCATGCCCTATGCACCATGCACCATGCCCCATGCACCATGCCCCATGCACCATGCATCATGCCCTATGCACCATGCACCATGCACCATGCACCATGCCCTACGCACCATCCACCATGCACCATGCACCATGCACCATGCACCATGCCCTATGCACCATGCACCATGCACCATGCCCTATGCACCATGCACCATGCACCATGCACCATGCCCCATGCACCATGCACCATCCACCATGCCCTATGCAAAATGCACCATGCACCATGCACCATGCACCATGCCCTATGCACCATGCACCATGCACCATGCCCCATGCACCATGCACCATGCACCATGCCCTATGCACCATGCACCATGCCCCATGCACCATGCACCATGCACCATGCCCTATGCACCATGCACCATGCACCATGCCCTATGCACCATGCACCATGCACCATGCACCATGCTCTATGCACCACGCACCATGCACCATGCCCTACGCACCATGCACCATGCACCATGCCCCATGCCCCATGCACCATGCCCTATGCACCATGCACCATGCACCAAGCCCTATGCACCATGCACCATGCACTATGCACCATGCACCATGCACCATCCACCATGCACCATGCACCATGCACCATGCCCCATGCACCATGCCCCATGCCCCATGCCCCATGCACCATGCACCATGCACCATACAGCACCATGCACCATGCACCATGCCCTATGCACCATGCACCATGCACCATGCACCATGCCCTATGCACCATGCACCATGCACCATGCCCCATGCACCATGCACCATGCACCATGCACCATGCACCATGCCCTATGCACCATGCACCATGCACCATGCACCATGCACCATGCCCCATGCACCATGCCCCATGCACCATGCCCCATGCACCATGCCCCATGCACCATGCACCATGCCCTATGCACCATGCACCATGCACCATGCCCCATGCACCATGCACCATGCACCATGCCCTATGCACCATGCACCATGCACCATGCCCTATGCACCATGCACCATGCACCATGCACTATGCACCATGCACCATGCCCCATGCACCATGCACTATGCACCATGCACCATGCACCATGCACCATGCCCTATGCACCATGCACCATGCACAATGCCCTATGCACCATGCACCATGCACCATGCCTCTGCACCATGCACCATTCACCATGCCCTATGCACCATGCACCATGCACCATGCACCATGCCCCATGCACCATGCACCATGCACCATGCCCTATACACCATGCACCATGCACCATGCCCCATGCACCATGCACCATGCACCATGCACCATGCACCATGCCCTGTGCACCATGCACCATGCACCATGCCCTATGCACCATGCACCATGCCCTATGCACCATGCACCATGCACCATGCACCATGCACTATGCACCATGCACCATGCCCCATGCACCATGCACTATGCACGATGCACGATGCACCATGCACCATGCACCATGCCCTATGCACCATGCACCATGCACCATGCACCATGCCCTATACACCATGCACCATGCACCATGCCTCTGCACCATGCACCATGCACCATGCCCTATGCACCATGCACAATGCACCATGCCCCATGCACCATGCACCATGCCCCATGCCCTATGCACCATGCACCATGCACCATGCACCATGCCCTATGCACCATGCACCATGCATGCACCATGCACCATGCCCTATGCACCATGCACCATGCACCATGCACCATGCCCCATGCACCATGCCCCATGCCCCATGCCCCATGCACCATGCACCATACAGCACCATGCACCATGCACCATGCCCTATGATTATGCACCATGCACCATGCACCATGCCCTTTGCACCATGCACCATGCACCATGCACCATGCACCATGCCCTATGCACCATTCACCATGCACCATGCCCTACGCACCATGCACCATGCACCATGCCCCATGCACCATGCCCCATGCACCATGCCCCATGCACCATGCCCCATGCACCATGCACCATGCCCTATGCACCATGCACCATGCCCCATGCACCATGCACCATGCACCATGCCCTATGCACCATGCACCATGCACCATGCACCATGCACCATGCCCTATGCACCATGCACCATGCACCATGCCCTATGCACCATGCACCATGCACCATGCACTATGCACCATGCACCATGCCCCATGCACCATGCACTATGCACCATGCACCATGCACCATGCACCATGCACCATGCACCATGCCCTATGCACCATGCACCATGCACCATGCACCATGCCCTATGCACTATGCACCATGCCTCTGCACCATGCACCATGCACCATGCCCTATGCACCATGCACCATGCACCATGCCCCATGCACCATGCACCATGCCCCATGCACCATGCACCATGCCCCATGCCCTATGCACCATGCACCATGCACCATGCACCATGCACCATGCCCTATGCACCATGCACCATGCATGCACCATGCACCATGCCCTATGCACCATGCACCATGCCCCATGCACCATGCCCTATGCACCATCCACCATGCACCATGCACCATGCCCTATGCACCATGCACCATGCACCATGCCCCATGCCCGATGCACCATGCACCATGCACCATGCCCTATGCACCATGCACCATGCACCATGCACCATGCACCATGCCCCATGCACCATGCACCATGCACCATGCACCATGCACCATGCCCTATGCACCATGCACCATGCCCCATGCACCATGCACCATGCACCATGCCCTATGCACCATGCACCATGCACCATGCACCATGCACCATGCCCTATGCACCATGCACCATGCACCATGCCCAATGATTATGCACCATGCACCATGCACCATGCCCTTTGCACCATGCACCATGCACCATGCACCATGCCCTTAGCACCATGCACCATGCACCATGCCCCATGCACCATGCACCATGCACCATGCCCTATGCACCATTCACCATGCACCATGCCCTACGCACCATGCACCATGCACCATGCCCCATGCACCATGCCCCATGCACCATGCCCCATGCACCATGCCCCATGCACCATGCACCATGCACCATGCCCTATGCACCATGCACCATGCCCCATGCACCATGCACCATGCACCATGCCCTATGCACCATGCACCATGCACCATGCACCATGCACCATGCCCTATGCACCATGCACCATGCCCTATGGACCATGCACCATGCACCATGCACTATGCACCATGCACCATGCCCCATGCACCATGCACTATGCACCATGCACCATGCACCATGCACCATGCACCATGCACCATGCCCTATGCACCATGCACCATGCACCATGCCCTATGCACTATGCACCATGCCTCTGCACCATGCACCATGCACCATGCCCTATGCACCATGCACCATGCACCATGCCCCATGCACCATGCACCATGCCCCATGCACCATGCACCATGCCCCATGCCCTATGCACCATGCACCATGCACCATGCACCATGCACCATGCCCTATGCACCATGCACCATGCATGCACCATGCACCATGCCCTATGCACCATGCACCATGCCCCATGCACCATGCCCCATGCACCATGCACCATGCCCTATGCACCATGCACCATGCACCATGCACCATGCCGTATGCACCATCCACCATGCACCATGCACCATGCCCTATGCACCATGCACCATGCACCATGCCCCATGCCCGATGCACCATGCACCATGCACCATGCCCTATGCACCATGCACCATGCACCATGCACCATGCACCATGCCCCATGCACCATGCACCATGCACCATGCCCCATGCACCATGCACCATGCATCATGCCCCATGCACCATGGTGAGCGCACTCATATTGCCCTATGGCCCCTCTCTCAGGGCGTATCCCTGGGTGGTGGTAGGGCCACTGTAGATGGCAGAGTTGGTGGCATGCGGGAAAACCGCATGCCACCAACATTTTTACCGAGGCGCGCGCGACTCGTATTTGGTGGCATTGAAGTGACATTTTTGGGACATTGCCCAATCACGCACCTGTATTCGCGCGCCAAATTTCCTGACACCAACCTGGCGTTTTATGTGTTCGTGGCAGGCTGCCATCTACAGTGGCCCTGCCACCACCCAGGGATACGCCCTCATATGACCCCTCTCTCATATGACCCCTCTCTCACACTCACCCGGCTGTGTGCCGCGCTGAATGCCCATGACCCCATTCATCATGGCGCGCTCATAGTAGTCCATGAAGCGCACTGAGCGCGTCCAGCGGAAAGCATTGCGCGCCATCTATGAGTGGGTTCATGGTGAAGGGGGGAGAGGGATAGGGAGAAAAGAGGGCGGGTGCACAAGGCTGGGCTAGGTGATAGCTCCTGCGCCAGTAGGGTATGATCAAGCACACAGCACTGACCTGCGTTGACACACATTAACCTGCGTTGACCCACATTGACCTGCGTTGACCCACATTGACCTGCGTTGACCCACATTGACCTGCGTTGACTCACCTTGAGCATGATGTACGTGGTGCACGATTCCTGGTCCTCCTGTGCCAGTGCTTATGGCATGACCTAACCGCACACCACTCACCTGCATTGACCTGCGTTGACCAGATTGACTTGCCTTCAGCATGTTGTAAGTGGTGCAGGACTCCTGGTCCTCCTGTGCCAGTATATGCCCACTCCGATGCGGCTCCTGCCTGCCCGTGACAGATGAAGAAGAAAGACAGACAGAATGCCACAGGTGGGAAATTTCTGAGGCGCCTCGAAAGACAGAATGCCACAGGTGGGAAATCGTGGCACCCACAAGATTCATGTGCTTATCACAAATCATCAAACCCCACCAGACCCCAGCATGACCACACCCAACCGGAGTGAGCCACAGCAGACCCCAGCAAACGGCACTCACCAGAACTCGAAGGCGGAGGTGCCTCCAGAGGTGAAGCAGTGCGAGGTGTTGACAATACAGCAGTTTTGAGACATCTCAAAACCTGGTTATCATGTCACCACAGCGCACCCCAGCAAACGGTGCACCCCAGCAAAGAGGTGACTTTTGAGTCGACTCAAAAACCACAGCGCACCCCAGCAAACGGCAACACTGACCGGAAACTCCAAGGTAGAGGTGCCTCCAGAGGTGAAGGAGTGTGAGGTGTTGATGAGAGTAAAAAAGTGGTGGGAGAGGTCACCAGGCCCCACCAGATGTGACCCACTACACCACATCACACCTCACCAGACCACAGCAAGCCATACCAGATCTCACACTAGATCACAGCAGCAGATGGCACTGACCAGAACTCGAAGGCAGAGGTGCCTCCAGAGGTGAAGGAGTGCGAGGTGTTGACGAGGGAGAGGAAGTGGTGTGAGAGGTGCTGGCGGGGGGGGAGTTGAGGGGAGGGGATTGGGGGAGTGGTGAGGGAGGTTGAGGCGCCTTAAAAGGTGCCTCCAGAGGTGAAGGAGTGCGAGGTGTTGACGAGGGACTCTGGGAGTGCTGTACATGCCCATTTCATAAACACATAAGCTTGTTTTTGAGTCGACTTTTTTTTAGTCGACTCAAAAACAGACTCCGGGAGTGCTGTACATGCCCATTTCATAAACATGTAAGCTGTTAAACCAATCGATACCCGATGTTAACTGCTCACAATGATCTATGCTTATTAGAAACTGTTGAATCCGATTCATACATACCCAATACCCCGTATAAGCTGCTACAATAGGTTCATACCCAGTATAAGCTGCTACAACAGGTTCATACCCGGTATAAGCTGCTACAATAGGTTCATACCCGGTATAAGCTGCTACAACAGGTTCATACCCAGTATTAGCTGCTACAATAGGTTCATACCTGGTATAAGCTGCTACAACAGGTTCATACCCGGTAAAGGCTATCCCCTGTGGCCTCGTAGCGCATCTGAGCGCCGATGGCGATGGGGATGTGCGTGTTGGCGTGCAGCCCCGGCAGGTCGTCTGCGCCCACCGCTAGTGGACCCAAGAAGCACGGCTTGTCGAATAGATGGGCCAGCTCCAAGTGGTGGGGGTCTCTCTAGTGGGGTTGTGGGAAGGGCAGGAAGGGGTTGAGAGCGGAGTGAAGGGGGCTGGTTGCCATGCAGCCATGGCTGGTCGTCCGCGCCCACCACTAACGGGCCCAGGAAACATGGCTTGGGTGGTGGGGGTCGCGCTGGGGGAGCGGGGCAGAAAGAAAACGAGTGAAAGAGGTTGTGCGTGGGGTGAAGGAGGCTAGCTGCCGTGCAGCCCTGGCAGGTCGTCCGCCCCCACCGCCAAGGGGCCCAGGAAGCATGGCAGAGTCGAGATGCGCCAACTCTAGGTGGTTGGGGTCTTTCTGGGGCGGTTGTGGGAAGTGCGGGAAGAGGAGGGACGTGCAAGAGGAGGGACGTGCAAGAGGAGGGGAGTGCAAGAGGAGGGGAGTGCAAGAGGAGGGGAGTGCAAGAGGAGGGGAGTGCAAGAGGAGGGGAGTGCAAGAGGAGGGGAGTGCAAGAGGAGGGGAGTGCAAGAGGAGGGGAGTGCAAGAGGAGGGGAGTGCAAGAGGAGCGGAGTGCAAGAGGAGGGGAGTGCAAGAGGAGGGAAGTGCAAGAGGAGGGGAGTGCAAGAGGAGGGGAGTGGGGTAAGGAAGGAAACGGGAGCAGATCAACGACGGACCCCCACCCACTGCCAACAACGGACCCAAGACTGCTGCGAATGCAATCAGAGAGCGCATAGAGTCCCCATCACTTACAGCCTATGGCGTGCCACGCACGCCATCACTTGCCACGCCACTGTGTGGAGCTCACTGGCTCGCATGCCAATGCCAGCCATGAAGACTAGGGTGAGCAGCAGTTAGGAAGATACTTGTAGCAAAAGAGAGACAGTGATACTCTCTGTGCGTTGTACCCTGCTCAAAAGTTGTGTGCAGCTCATTGGCTCGCATGCAGTGAGCACGGCTTACTATCGCACACAGCTGAGGTGACTTTTGAGTCGACTCAAAAGACACACAGCCGCTTTCAATGCACACAGTCACATACAGTCATCATCACTTATAGGCTCACGCAATGCTTACAGTGATGGCATATAGGCGGTACAGCAGGTCGTTCATGCCTCCAAACTCCTCGTTGAGCGACAGCCAATGGCGCGCCACCGTGTGGCGCTCGATGACTCGCTGCACGCGCCCCCGGAAGTACTCCACCATCCACGTCAGCATGCGCAGCGCCGCCCGGCTGCCGCCCAGCTGGTATTGGTCCAACAGGCCAGCCATGATCTGAGGGGGGAGAGCGGAGGAGAGACAAGGTGGGAGGGCGAAGTGGGAGAGAAGGGGTGAGCGGGTCCATCCCATCCAGTGTGATGCCATCCGGATCCATCCCATCCAGTGAGATGCCATCCGGATCCATCCCATCCAGTGAGATGCCATCCGGATCCATCCCATCCAGTGAGATGCCATCCGGATCCATCCCACACGTGAAAGAGGAGTGTTTTTGAGACGTCTCAAAAACACTCTTCTTTCACGTGGAGAAGAGGTGATCCCCATCCATCCCAAACCGTGGTGGTGTGATTTCGGATGTATCCCATCCCGGGTGGGGTGATTCGGATCCCATCACTGACAGTGGGTCAGCATGCGTTGGTGTTGGTTCGCTCCAAGCTCGTACAACAGCTGGGAGGACTTTTGCCTCCACACGGTCAAAGAACTTACATGCGCCCCCTCCTCTTGCCCACCCCTACCATCTCCCCCCTCCCCCACCCCACCTTATGCACGGTGTAGTAGGGCGCCCACACGGGCTTGATTGCCTCCACACGGTCAAAGAACTCCTCGGGAAACGCAGAGAGGTACCCTGAGCCAATGCGCTGCTGACACGTGTCCAGCTCTCCCACCAGATACTCCATGCGGGCTTTAAGGGTTGTGTTGCCCGTTGACGCCCACGCCAGGGCTGATGCGCTCAGGTAGTGCCCTGGAGCATGTGAAGGGACGTAAAGGGAGAAGGGAAGAGGGAAGACCAACGGATACAGTCCGGTTTGTGTCATTCCCTGCGACTGCTGACACGTGCCCAGCTGCCCTGCCCACACCTAGTCCATACTCCATGCAGGCCTTGAGCGTTGTGTTGCCAGTTAATGCCCACGCCAGGGCTGGTGCACTCAGGTAGTGGCCTGGATGGTTAAGAGGGAAGTGAAAGGAGGAGTGAAGGGAGAGGGGAAGAGAGCGAAGAAACAAAGGGGTACAGTCCGGTTCATGTCATTCTCTGCGACCTGGTGCTGACACGTGTGCTGTTGCCCCAGCCACCATGCGTGTACAGTCCAGTTCATGTCATACACTACACGGGCTTTAAGGGTGGTGTTGCCTGTAGATGCCCACACCAGGACTGATGCGCTTCAGTAGTGCCCTGGATGGTTAGAAAGAGTACAGGTCGAGAGTTCACGAGACAAGTCGAAAGAGTGCACTCTCACCTCACACGAGACAAGTCGAAAGAGTGCACTCTCACTCCCCCACCCCCTCCCTCTCCCCACTTCCCCACTCACACACGAAATGCCCCCTCAATTCGCTATGAGGGTTTAGGGTTCCCCCACCGCCCATACAGCTTCCCTTTTGGCTCCTCCCCCCCTGCCGTCTGCCGTCAAGCCATTCACTCATCACCTCCCTCACTCCCTCCCTCGCTCCTTCACTCCCTCAACCCCTCTCTCTCCTAATCCATCTCTCTACCTTCGCTTCCCCCCATTTCCCCCCACTTCCCCCCACTTCCCCCCACTCACCCACGAAGTGTCCCCTCAGTTCACTATTAGGGTTCTCCCATCCCCCATACGGCTTCCCTATTGGCTCCTCTCCCGCCGTCCGCCGGAACGACCACAGCAAGCGGTCGGCGTCGAGCGTCAGGAGGTACTCGAGGTTGGCGCTCTGGGCGGCAAACTGACGCGTGGATGGCGACAGGCGGACGGCATGCAGCGGCAGTGGGGAGAGGAAGTGAGGGTGCTGCCACGTGGGGAGAAGGAGAAGGGGGGAAGGGAGATGGGGGGACAGGGGGAGTACGGGAAAGGGGAAGGGGGAGGGGGAGAAGGAAGAGTGGTAAGGGGGGGAGGAATAGGGGGAAAAGGGGAAGGGGGGATGAGAGGAAAGAATGAACGACCACAGCAGGCGGTCGGCGTCGAGCGTCAGGAGGTACTCGAGGTTGGTGCTCTGGGCGGCAAACTGCCGCGTGGCCGGCGGCAGGCGGACGGCGTGCAGCGGCAGGGGCGAGAGGAAGTGCAGCCGCTGCTATGCACGGGGGGAAGGGGATGGGGGAAAAGGGGGAAAAGGGGAAGGGGGAAAGGGGAAATGTGGAAAGGCCAGCGGCGAGAGGAAGTGCGGGCGCTGCTATGCACGGGGGGACAACTGGAAAGAAGGGAAAGGGGGAGGGGAGGGATGGGGAGAGGGAGTGCGCACGCTGCTATGGACCAGGGGAAGAGGGGGGAGTCCCACCCGCCCACCCTCGCAACCCCCCCCCACCCGCACCCTCTTCTCACCCACTCCCGCATGGCTCGCTGCTTTCCGCTTCCCCCGTTTCCCCCCGCGTCCGCAGCGCCCGCAGTGTCTGCAGCGTCCGCAGCGTCCCCCTCCGCGTCCGCAGCGCCCCTTGCAGCGCCCGCAGTGTCTGCAGCGTCCGCGGAGCGGCGGGAAGTTCTCCCCGCCAGCGCGTCCGCGGCTGCGCGGCTGTCCGCGTGGTGGCTCAGTACGCGCAGGTGCTCGCGCACGGAGGGACTGGGGGAAAAGGCAGGGGGGGAAAGGAAGAGGTGGGAAATGGAATGAGGAGGGAGAGGAGGAAAGGACGGGGGAGCATGATCGAGTGCGGGGGACAAGGGGATGCGGAAGGATTGGGGAGCCGCTGCGCATTGCCAGGTGGAAAGCAAGCATCCGGGAAGAATCTGCCAATCCTTTTCCCGGGCATGTTTGTAACGAACCGCCGCGTTGCAAGCGAAAATGCCTTATCCGTTGAAACCTGGTACCTGAGGTGCTGTCGTGGGGTTGCGAAAGGGCGCGTCCGTCCCTGATACCTGTGGAACATTTTGTCGTTTTTCGCAAGCGCGAGATGTCTCTACCTGTAACGGTGCTAGTACCTGTTAAAAAACTCGTGCGGCTGTGATGGGATGTTGGTGCACTCCCACGCCGCTGCGCGCCGAGCAGGGGAAAGAAGCAGCGCGCACGCGCACGCCCACGCGAACACCCACACGGACACGCGGACGCGGAGCGACACACGCGGCCACAGCGCGGCGCCGAGTGCCGCAACACGCGGTGAGACTATCCGCTGCCCCATCCGACGGCGAATATCTGCGGAAGAACGGCTCGCCGCCGCCATGCTCGCGAATTCGCGCGCAGAGTGTATTTCGAGGTTCGGGTACTTTCCGTGTACTTTCCGGAGCCCAACGAGAATGGCTGCCCTGAGCTGCAGCAGGTTGCAGGCAGGCAGGCCCCCTCGTTACGACCTGCACCTGGATTTTGGAATCAGCGCCTGCGGAATGAAGTTACTCTTCTCGCGCGTACGATGCTTTCGCGCCCCAAATCTTTTTCCTGCCACCTCCACAAGCTCCTCACTTCCCTCTCAATTCAAACGTGTTTGCACAATTGCGATTCCAAACCATGACAGCTTGGCGCCTGACAAAACGGTTGACCCTCAATTGACCGTACTGTACCATATTTCAACGTTTTCCGCTTAGCGCAAACCGAATTGAACCCTTTTACAGAGTCGCCGTTCCGAGGTTTCCGTGGTGGTGTTGCCACGGCTTTCCAAATCTCATAATACTGGTCCACCTGGAGCTCTCCACGTCAGAGAAACTATCCAAGCTTGTAAGATCCACGAATTTACAAGTCACACTCGTATGCTACGTAGAAATTGATTCATTTAGCTGTCAATGACTAATACATAGGGAAACGAGGGAAAACAGCATTATGCCGTTCTTCACTTATTTCAGACCAATACATATATTGCACCGTTCTACATTGCTGCTCCTGTTGCCTTTTTCAGTAAAAAAAATGGCTGGTGCTTTACGACGTTGCTCAGCGTATTGGGAGGATATGGGTTGCAAGCTGAAGATTTGGTCGAAGCGGGAGAGGCGGCATTCTTGTGTTTATTCCTGGAAAGGATGGCAAGCTGCAAGCAGGAAGAAAAAACATAAGGGGCATGGGGACAATTGGGAAAAATGGGCAACCACAAATCTCGTAAAAGCTGGTGGCATACGGTGGAAACAACATCTGGACGTCTGTTCCTGATCCCGCTGTACAGCTCACCTTTCCACGGACAATGCTAGATTGCGCTTCAGCTGCTGCAACATGTGGCTGGAGTCGTGTAACTGCATACACAAGGAACAGCACACACACGTGTTATTCGGATGCTGCTGTGTTTCATGCCACAGAATGCCATGCGGCATAGCATGGTACATGACATACCATGGTATACAGCAGAGTATGGTGGTACATAGCAGAGTTTGATTCATGTGATGTATTGTATCAAATGGGACATAGCAATGCATGGAGGAAAAAAAACGGAACAATCATTGGGAAAGCATCACAGGTCAATAAAAATACACACCTTTTGCAGACGAAGTGCCTCCTTAATCTTCTCAATAAGCACAGTGCTGTGCGCCAGCCGCGCCTCCTGCTCCACCGGCACACTCCACGGTACCGCAGACACCAATAAAGGGGACGACGGCTGCATGGCTACAGGTGGTGATGCCATGGCTGTGAGCACTGACGTGGGTGACACTGACGAGCCGGGTGATTCAAACGACCCTCGTGCTGCCTGCGATGTTTTTGACTCAAACAGGAATGGGGCTTTGACCCCTTTATTGTGAGGCGCTCCATGTGCTTTTAATTTCTGCTTTGATCGTTGTGCCACCCCATGCTGCACGCCCTGCATCAGCAAGGGCTGTGCCTGTGCATCGGCGGTGTCTGCAGCAACAGAAGCATCAGCGCGACCTGCATCCTTGTCGCAACCAGCAGCACCGCTCACGCCACCACTCTTGATGTCTATTCCAAGAACCGTGCCCTCTAGAAAAGCTAAATCTGCTGCAGCAGCACCACCATCAGCAACACTAGCAGCAGCACCATTATCAACGGCAGCAGCATCACTGGGAGAACCAGGAGCGATGGCTGATGGAGCAGGAGCAGCAGGGGCAGCAGGCGTATTAGTGGCTAGTAAGCAGTCAAGCGTCATTGAGAGTGCATCACAGAACTCACTAGCTGGAGCACCACTCGCGCCCATACCCGCATCCCCATCCCCCCTCACGCCCCCATCCCCCCATGCGCCCCCATCCCCCCACCCGGCCCCTTCCCCCCCGCTCCCTCCAACACCGTCCTCCGCTTTCACTGGCGGCGATTCGCCCAGACCCTGCGCCAGCAGCCTGTCCTCCTCATTGACTGCCTCGTTATGCGCTGCGTCCGCTGCTGCTGCTGCTCCGCGCACTTCTGTGCTGCGCGATGCCTTCTTCCGCGGCGAAGTGGCCTGCGGGCTTCCGAGCTTCCGCTTGTGCGGCTCTGGAGCCTGGGAAGGGGAGGAGCGGAGGGGGCGGGCGAAGGGGGCGCGCGAAGGGGAAGAGCGGAAAAGGGGAAGAGGAGAAAGGGAAAGTATCTGGCTTCCGAGTTCCGCTTATGCAGCTTTTGAGGCTGGGGAGGGGGCGCGCGGATGGGGCGGCCGGAGATGTCACACGGGAATTTATTCTCCATCCGTCGGGTGTGTAAGCCTAGATTCGGTTGCGCTGCTGAGTTCGTCGCGTTGCTCGCATCGCGCGCCTCGAGGACGCGTCGCCAATAACGCCAAATGCAATGCCGGCGGCCGTGCCCTTTCCGAATGGGCTCGTGTGGTTTTTGCCGCACAATGCGGCCTCTGCGTCGCGCTTTAGCGGTTTCAGAGGCGGTTGCGTCTTGACCGAATGGGGTTGTAGTAAGGCTTTGGTGTTTCTTACGAGTCAAGCACAAGTGCGGATCTTTAGCAAGGGGTTATACCTTGTCGCGCCATCTGCAGCGAATTGCCACGTCTCTAGCCGTCTTGCTCGGCATACACGCGGCCACTAGCAGGTACCTCTGTAACGGAGACAGCTTGCTATCCGCATGCCTGGTTTGGTAGGGAGTGGATCGAAAGGAAGGCAGGGAGGAAAGCCACGGGCGAAAGGTTGAGTAAATCAAAATTACTACTTGGGAACGGGGCTCTTGAAGGAGGGGCTGAGCAGATTTCGGGGAAAGGGGGATCGGGGAAAGCGGCCTGCGTGAGATGTTGGAAAGGATATGCAGAAAGGAGCGCTGAGATACCAAATGTCTCCTTTTCGCGACAAGAGAGGAGTCTGGTGGGCATAAAAGTGTGCGGGATAGCATTTCGCGAGCGAATTTTGCGAACCTCGCCAATGCTCGCTCTAGCTCGCGATCTTCCTCCGGCGACCACGACTGCGACAGCAGCGGGAGATGCAGCAGCTCCGCAATCGGCGCTGAACTCGCCCGGGCACTCCGCGTGCATGTCTCCGCCATGGCAATCGTCCCCGGCGCTGCCGCGGACGCCGTTGCAAAATCTCCTCCCGCTGCGGAAGGGCGCAAGGGGTTTTCCGCGCTCGTGCCGAATTGTGAGGCGGCTCCACGTGCGCTTTCTTGCGCGGTCCCTCGCACCGCGGCGGTCGTTCGCGCGGCGGACCTTGCTCCAGTCTTTTCAGGCGACAATGGCGAGCGGTTCGGCTTGTGCTCTACCGAGAGAGGGCTGGGATGGGGAGAGGGAGTCAGGACGAAGTGAAACGGGGAGCGATTCGCGGCTCGGTCGGGAAGTTCACACGGCGTGAAGGGCGCGGAGAAGCCGTCGACAAGGCACGGACCGCCGTTTGACGGCATCCCGACTCACGACAATATCGAAGCGAAGTATAGAATAGCTGACGAACGTATGCCGCACCTGAGTCCGCTAGACTTTCACATATTTAATTTAATTAAGGCACACCACTAGCGGAAGTCGAGCGCACCGCCGAGGGCCCCAGCAGGTGGCGGGACAGCAAGATTAACAATTCACGAAGCAAATGAGGATGATTTGGAGAGATGCAAGAGCAGCCTTGGGAAGAGCTCTCAGGCTGCTGAACAGACACTGCGAGATTGAAGAAGAGGGGAACGATCGATCTGTCAGCTCCTCCGTCCGTGCGATTTTGTCTAGCAGAGCCACAACCGGTACGTGTGGAAGTAGCTATTGATCACCTTGTTTCTGCCTTGCCTTGAGATTTGTCCAGCTTTGTTTGAATTGCCTCGAAATTTGTGGCGTTCTGCCCCACCTTGGGGATTGTGTGGGTGCTGGGGGGAACGACGGGGGGGAGGGAGGGGGGGGAAACTGTATTTGCGGGGGGGCACGGGAAGGGAGGAGAAGAGGAGGGGAGAGAGGGGGGCAGATGATGCGAGCGGTGCGGAAGAACCTGGAAGAGAAACTCGATGGCTGCTCCGCGCGCGCGAGAGAGCGCGATAAGGGGGGGAAAATGAGGGAAGGGGAACGAGTGAGGGGGGGTCCAGCTCGTACATTTGCTGTTCGTAAACCCCCTCAGTTACCACATTCTTTGTGGTAGCCCTTTATTGAACGTGTCCAGCGGACACAATCAGCTTCTGTTCGCAAGACGGAACGCCCCATGCACGTACCTAGAGTCGTCTGACTCACGTTACTGGAATCAGCAGGGACGCGAACAAGGGTACAGCACCGCGTCCTGGCCACTACAGTTCGTTTCCCTTGTATCGCTTGCACGATTTCGTCAGTGGTTCGCTCTGCTCGCCAGCGCCCCCTGCGCCTGCACAAAAATTTTCAAGCTATGATTGACGAGGGAAACTGTTACCTCGTTTTCAACGTGGTCAGAGAACTGTTGATTCGTGTGGCGGGGAATGTGTCCGCGCTTCTGAAATTACAGGATGGTTGGACTCCACTCACAATGCATTCGTTTCTAGGTACGGTATTTGAACCTCGATACGTGCGTTGGCACGAAAAATCCTGAAATGAACGAACTGGACACGCCCTGAGGGAGGGGTCCTCCTCAGTGAAGGGGAGAAGAAGGGTGCGGTGCGGAAGAAAAATGTCCGCAGCGCCAGCGGAGATTTCAGCATGAAATGCAAACAGTCAGCAACGGACGGTCCGATGTCGACGAAATCCGAAACGGACTGCTTCGATGGAATTCTGCTTCCAGCGAAGGAGGAGGGCTTCCCGAAGGTCATGGTCCCGGGAGCATCGTTCTTGTCGGGGCGGGGAACCAGACGGGATTTGGAGCGTGAACAGTTGTGTCGGATCGAATCAATCCACGTGCAATCCGCGTTTGTTCTGTTCACTCAGTTTCTCAAATTCTGCCCGACCATAAGATGCTACGTGTATTTTAGAAACCACCCCACTGCAATTAAGACCAGACAATCCCTAAGCACCGACTGTAAGGGGACATTGCAATCTGTGAAATCCCTGCAAGAGACCTGGTTCCTCTGTGCTGATGAGCGAGCTATCCGCAACCATCATGATTGAGAGGCACCATAAATATCGTTGGTAAAATCGTAACACCTAGACAAACCGCACTTCCCCTTGCAGCATTGTCGCACACGGACCAACGGCCAGGTCCACTTTCCACCCGTTGCCACGCTGAATCTCCTCAGAATGACGTGTCAATGAGCTGTTCCGAGTAGCAGAACATTTTCGCGTATTGGAAGAACCGTTACTCAATGGATGACTAGATGTGGACTCGAACTATTCCTCAAACTTACATTAAAAAAAAAAATGACCATGCATCCACTTTGCAAATGAACTAAACCTTGTAACCAGCTGACCTTTATTGTCTCTGTCGACCCTAAACGGAGAATTCATGTCAGCCAACAACTGCTCCACACGACTTCTTACCACCGAAGCTCCTTGCTTCCGACTATGCTTCCCCCATCCAGTCACAATGGAAACTCTACCTGACAATTTCCCCGCACTCTTAGTACCATCTCCTTGATCCCATTCCAGTCTCCAACCCCCATATCCCGCATCTCGTGCACCCCCACAGACCAAATCTAAGCCCGTCGAGCCAATGCCACTCCCTGCTGCCTCCAAACTACGGCCGCTGTCCCTTCCCGCTGTCTCATCCATAGTTCTCTCCCACTGGTTCATGATGAGCCAGGCCAGCAGCACCACAGCAGCGGCTTCAGAGTGCAACCCATGCAAGTCAACCAACAATTCAACTCTGTCAGTTGCACTCACACCACTTCTGCTGGTAACCGCAGCGACGCACCTATCGCCATTTGCACGAGAACTACAGCTGCTGCTGCTGCTGCTGCTGCTGCTGCTGCTGCTGCTGCTGCTGCTGCTGCTGCTGCTGCTGCTGCTGCTGTTGCTGGTAACCGCAGCCACATAGCGCCAGAGCAGGGCAGTCAAAGCACGGACCAGTGCTCGGCTGTCCTCACCAGAGAGTGCTCGTAACTGCTGCTGCTGTTGCTGCTGATGCTGCTGCTGGTGCTGCTGCTGCTGAGACGGTGGTTCGGAACGTGTTGGGGGAAGATTGAGAACAATTCTGCATCCTGCAAAACACCCAACTTCTGCTTCTGCACTTGACGAGCTTGCTGCCAGATGTGGTGCCGCCTGCGCTGCCGCCTGTGGTGCCGCCTGCGCTGCCGCCTGTGGTGCCGCCTGTGGTGCCGCCTGTGGTGCCGCCTGTGGTGCCGCCCACGGGACCTCAGCCAACCGTGGGGCGACAGCTGGCTGCAGCGGTGGAACTACAGCTGGCGGCACCATTGGGACGACAGAAGCACCCAGGAGGCGCACTGCCAGGTTCACAGTGGTTGCTGGTGGCGGGGATCGCACAGCTGGTTCTGGTGCCATCGATCCATTGCTGCGTGCCACATCAGCAGTGGTTGACACGTCAGCAGAAAGTGACACGTCAGCAGCCATGTGATGGAGCATGGACGCGACCTGCTGCCACTGCCCTCTCTCCCATGAGGCTCGCAGAAGCAGCTCCCTTCTCCTCCACTCACCCGCACTTCCTCCCCCTCCTCCTCTGGCTGCAACTGATAATGCTGCTGCTGCTGCTGCTGCCTGTGGTGCTCCTGCTCCTGCTTCTACTGCTTCTGCTCGTGGTGCTGCTGCTGTTGCTTGTGTTTCTGCTGGTGCTGCTGTTGATGCCCCTGCTGCTTGTGATGCCCCTGCTCCTGCTTCTACTGCTTCTGCTCGTGGTGCTGCTGCTGTTGCTTGTGTTTCTGCTGGTGCTGCTGTTGATGCCCCTGCTGCTTGTGATGCCCCTGCTCCTGCTTCTACTGCTTCTGCTCGTGGTGCTGCTGCTGTTGCTTGTGTTTCTGCTGGTGCTGCTGTTGATGCCCCTGCTGCTTGTGATGCTCCTGCTCCTGCTGCTGCTGCTGCTTGTGGTTCTGCTGTCGCTGTTGCGTCTGTTACGGGTGCTTTCAACCAGCTCATCACCCCCACCCTCTCCTCCATCTCCGCTCCAACCTCCTCCATCTCCCCCCACCGCTTCTCCCTCGCCAGCGCCACCATCACCGCCTCGCCCGCCTCTCTCGCCGCCACGGCCACCTGACCCCTCCCACCCCGCCATGTGGCAGCTCCCGATTGGAGCACAAAGCGCAGCAGCGCAAGGGCGTCGTCGGGGCGACTGCAGCGGGCGAGGGCGGCTGCAAGCAGCAGCACTGCGTGTGCCTCCCTCTTTAAAGCCCGAGTCGGGATCCTCCTTTCACAGCCCAAGGTGGATTCATCCAAACCCCACATCGCACACAGCAGCATGGCAACTGCCCCGTCGACCACTCCCACTTCTCCAAACGCCTCTATCAGGGCACAACCCGAGGCATAGGAGAGGGGGCGAGACAATTCCTGAGGTGCCTCAAGAATCGCGGCCGCCCCGTCCGCCACTCCCACCTCTCCAAACGCCTCTATCAGTGCACAGCCCGACACATCGGAGAGGGGGCGAGTGGGAACGGTGATTGTGTGGGAGGGGTGAGAGGAACGAGAAGAGAGACTGGTCAGTGAGAGGCGCTGCTCTTCTACGGTCGATGGCTCCTCTGCTGCTGTCTGTTGCTCTGGTGTGGTCAGTCTTTCTGCCGTTGCCAGCTGATTTGAAGGGATTAACTGCTGTGACATGAGAGCGTTCCAGAGTGGCGGTGCGGGCGACAGAAGCAAGGGAAGCCTGCCCAGAATAGGGAGAGAAACAGAGGCTGACTGCACTGCTGCTGCTGGAACTTCTGCTTTGAGTTCCCTGCTTCTTTTGTCCTTTGTGCCTGAATCAATAGCCTGCTGAAACACCCCTTGCTGCTTCGTGTTTGAATCAGTGACCTGTGTATGCACTCGCGGCATCTGACCAATCAGCTGCACTCCCCTCTCCACCTGATTCGCTGACACCAGCCCCGCTGCCACACGGGCGTGCAATCGCAGTGCGCCACCTGTCCACCGCTGGCCGCCACATGTCCTCTGCTGACGTGTCATCTCGCGCTCAGGGCTGCTGCCACTGCGAGCAGGAAAATCAGCCTCTTCAGAATCCTCAGACTCTTCAGAATCCTCAGACTCTGATTTTTTTGATATATCCGATGAATCTGATCGCCTGTTATAAGAGCACACGGCTGGCGGGACTGATTCAAAGACCTGGAAATAGAGAGGGAGGAGAAAGGGGGGAGAAAACAGGGAACGACGAGAGGGAATTCTCAACAACAATGAGACTGACTAAAGGCCGAGGGAATACAGAGGGAAAAGAGAGTGGGGACTGGGGAGACAGGGTTGAGAAGGGGGAGATACAAGAGTGAATTCTCAACAACAAAGTGACTGACTCAAGGCCGAGGGAATACAGAGGGAAAAGAGAGTGGGGACTGGGGAGACAGGGTTGAGAAGGGGGAGATACAAGAGTGAATTCTCAACAACAAAGTGACTGACTCAAGGCCGAGGGAATACAGAGGGAAAAGAGAGTGGGGACTGGGGAGACAGGGTTGAGAAGGGGGAGATACAAGAGTGAATTCTCAACAACAAAGTGACTGACTCAAGGCCGAGGGAATACAGAGGGAAAAGAGAGTGGGGACTGGGGAGACAGGGTTGAGAAGGGGGAGATACAAGAGTGAATTCTCAACAACAAAGTGACTGACTCAAGGCCGAGGGAGTACAGAGGGAAAAGAGAGTGGGGACTGGGGAGATAGGGTTGAGAAGGGGGAGATACAAGAGTGAATTCTCAACAACAAAGTGACTGACTCAAGGCCGAGGGAATACAGAGGGAAAAGAGAGTGGGGACTGGGGAGACAGGGTTGAGAAGGGGGAGATACAAGAGTGAATTCTCAACAACAAAGTGACTGACTCAAGGCCGAGGGAATACAGAGGGAAAAGAGAGTGGGGACTGGGGAGACAGGGTTGAGAAGGGGGAGATACAAGAGTGAATTCTCAACAACAATGAGACTGACTCAAGGCCGAGGGGCCACAGCAGGACAAGGGACGGGTTAGGGTGCAGGTACCTGATTTCATATTAAATGGAAAAACCCAGTTCATCAAACAAGTGTTTTGAGCCAACTACACACCCTGATCACGCTGCAGCTCCTGTACAGCGGTATTTACACCACTACTTCTGCTGGTTAGCAGTTCAGTTTTGACAACATATCTTGCACACACCAAACATCTTCGCCACAGCAAGTAACACACGTTTAAGATAGATCTTCTGCTATCAACACAGAACCTTTCAAACCTGAGCTCTCCACAAGGGAAAAAAAACCACTTCTCCCTCCTCCCCCACCCCCACCAAAAGAAAGAAAATAACAAACAAATATTTTGTCTTCTCATTAGACTCACATCTGCTGCCAGTTCGAACTCCTGCAGGCGCCACAGCTCCTCTGCAAGGGATCTCAGGAAACCCGCAGGAAGCTTCTTCAGCCTGCGAAGTTCACCCAGCAGTGCTTTTCCCCGCCTGTTGTCCGATCGGGTGTGAGATCTTGTGTCAGATCTGGCAGCCAATAGCAGCGCGTGCACGCCTCTCGCCACCCGATTGGTCACTGTTCGAGACATGCGCTTGCGGCCGCCCAGCCCAGTGCGCAAGGGGCGGAAGCCAATGTCGCCGGGCGCGCTGGCGGCGGAAGGCGAAGCGCGTGTTGCGGAAGCTGAAGCGGGAGAAGAGGAAAGTGAACCGAGGGTGGCGGAGGCTGTAGGGGGAGCGGCGGAACTTGAAGCGCGGGCGGCGGAAGCTGCGCTCAAACCGTGGCCCATATTGGGGACTGAAAGCACATTTTGACGCGACCTCGTCTGATGCCTGATTGCTCTCGAGCCAGCCTCGATGTTGCCGTGAGTTCCGTGGCTGGCACTGGGCCTCGCGAGAGTTTCACGATTGCTGTGATTTTCGCGACCGTTACTATTCTCAACGCCATTCTTGGCTGCAGAAATTGCCGAGCAGTTTCCTCCTGGCGGTTCAGGCGCTACCGCTGAACCTAAGAACGTAAACGGCTCTCGGGAAAAACTATCTGAGGTTGGTGGTTCTAATCCCCCGACCCCTTGCGACAAGTTCTGAGAAACTAATAGCTCAGCGGCAAGATTCGAACGTGGGTCTCCTGGGTCACAGCCCCGTTTGCTCGTCCTGGAATTCCGCGTGTCCGAGCGGCGTCGATCACGGTTAGCGGGTCCGCCGAAACCCTTGGGCTTGCCGGTAGCAAGATCAGAAACCGGCGGACTAGGTCGCTCGCTCCTAACTGCGATTTGTCTTCTCTGGGGAGAGCTTTGCCGTACTGAAAGTTTAGTCCCCGTTTCGGTCGGAATTCGTGACGGACTGACGGAGAAACGAGGCGAATTGACGGAGAGCGGAGGCGAAACCAGGTTCAGCAACGGGGACATGACGGTTGAATCCTACCACATAACTGACAGATTGCCGAGTAACCAAACCAACCTCGACAACTAAACCTAGATGTCGCCGAGCAAAAGGCAGGCAGCCAAACCTAGCTGATGCCGACCATCTCTGAATCATGCCGAGCCGAGCCTACATCGACACTGGTGAGACCCATGTTGTTGGATTGTCAGGCTCCTGGCTATTCCATCCAGACGCGACGCGGAGTATGCGTGTCGCGTTGCTGAATTCCATGATGCTGGACACTCCCAAGCAGGTGGAGTACAGGTGGGGAAGGGCATGAAACAGGGTAAATTACCCGCTGAAACACGTCCTTTATAGTGTACTTCCATCTACAGTTTGGGGCACATCCATCAGTGTCACAGAAACCATCAAGCACTAAACAATCTTGCCACACCTTGACTGTCTAGGGTTATCCTTTTTACAGACCAAGACAGAGCTAAAGTTGTTCCTTAGGGCAAGCCATATGAGTTCAGTTCATTGTGGGGAATCGGATGATGTGCATGTCAGATTGCCTCATTTGCAGTTGTTTGTCTTTGCATAGGGTTTTGAACAATATTGAACTCCGTATGACACACCCTTATACATCTATTGAAAGTTCCACACTGCAAAGGTGCTCCTTTGATTGCTGCCTGATTTTCTGTGTCTCTCCTTATAACATCGGCACAACTGGCCTCCTAACGATGGGACATGCTGCTGCTGCCATTGCAAGTGGTAGCAGTCCTGCATATGCTCCACCATGATAGCCTTGGAGTCACTCGCGTTACAATCCCTTTTCTTAGGGTGCATTCCTGTGGAGACATTTGTGTCTGAACCCCCGTTTTCCCGGGTCGCGCCTGTAAAATTGCCAAATGTTGTGTCACAAACAACCAATGTGTCGCGACTGTGAGCGACAGTTGGGCACGGCCAGGTGGTCGCTTTCTATTGGTTGCGATGTACAGGATCGGGCCATCATCGTTTTCCCACCGGGCATCCTGGCTAAACACACCATCCAGCAGCGCAGATTGCGCTGGTGCTAGCCACAGTAGAGGAACTTGCAATTTGGTCGAGTCGGGAGGTGTGCACCAACCCACGCACAAAGGCATATACTCAACAACTCTGGCAAGTACAAAAACTCACGCATCAAAGACCCCAATGCACCACTCCTTCTAGCAACCATGGCACAGCCTCGGGAGGTGCCATTTCTCATGCGACTTCTGGTCGCATGGGTGACGTTTAACTACAGCATCTTCCTGGACGCCGTCGCCCAGTCGGTTGGAGGTTTGCTGGAGGCGAACGTCTTCACGGAAGACGAGTCCTCGGCCTCTAGCTCACACGGCTCCAACCGAACAGCCGAGCGGAAGAGAAGGGCAGGGCTTCGCCAGAGGAGGTACCACCTGCTGTTAGAAGACCAGGAAGGCATGGGGGAGGACGAATTCAGAGACTTGTTCCGCATTAACCGCGCCATCCTCGATTACATTGTAGTCGGGATGGCGATCTACATGCAGCCGTACGTGGACAGGTATCTCATCAGCCACGAGGTGGCATGCCTGGTCGCTATCAAATACCTGGCCACTGGCATGTCGTTCGTGGACTTGGCTTCCGTCTTCGGCCTCTCCAAGACCCTGTGCCACATGCTTGTTGACGCTCTGCTCATGCACTTCCCCTCCGTCTTAAAGCAGCAATGGGTCCACTTCCCGACCCGTGACGACCTCGACGAGATGGCGGAGGAGTTCCGCGCCATCAAAGGAGTCTCTGCTGTAGTGGGGGCTATAGACGGCACACACGTGCACATGAAGGGGATGGAGGGGTACAGGCAGGAGTACCACACGCGCAAGTCATGCTACGCCGTCCAGCTGCAGCTCACATGCGACGCGCGCAGAAATCATTTGGGACTATTTGATCGGATACCCGGGCAGTACACACGATCAGAGGGTGTTCATGAACAGCGCGTTAGACGAAAGGTTGCACAACGGCGACATAGCGCCATACCAAATAGTGGGAGATGCAGCCTACCCACTGAGGAATTTCTGCCTGAACCCCCTACATGCACCCCGTGAAGGCCTAATGGATAACTGGGAGCAGTGCTTTAACCACTGCCAAAGCGGAACGCGTATGGCAGTAGAGCGCTGCATCGTGGCCTTCAAAGGCCGGTGGCATCTTTTCGCGGGCCGCAATAATTGCAAGCTCTGGCGCATTCTTGCGGGGGTATCTTGTGGCGTCATCTTGCACAATATGTGTGAGACAACGGAGGCCGTTAGGTGCGTCAATGCTTCGTGGGCAAACTTGCCCCGAAATCGGGACCCGTGGTGGACGCATGGCGCAGTCGCTGATTTCAAGAGGGAGCCATGCATCCCGAACACGCAGGCGAATCTACGAGAAAGGCGCAAGCGGCTGGGCGAGGCTCTAGAGTCGTCTTACCTCACTCGGCGGCGCCGCGAACCCACACCTCCTCGCCCGCATCCGGGTTAGAGGCGTTGTCGCCCGCCTGCCCGCGACGGAGCCAGCCGTCGTCGCCGCCTACGGCGGCGTGAGTTGCGGGCATGTTGTCCGCGTGCCCGGGGAAGCCGGGTTGGGCAGGCAGGTATGGGGCCTGCTGCTGCACGCGTTCGCGTGCAATTCGCGCGTCCTGCTCCATCCATGCGCGGACGAGGCCTTCGAGCTTGTTCATCGTGTCCGAGTGGCAACCCTTGATTGTCTCACACAGCAGCTTGGCGGCGGCCATCGTTGCCGTCTCTGCCACCCGTGGGCGCTTAGAGGTGGGCGTACCCTGCGGAGGTGGAGCTGCACATGCGAGATGCATTGTAATCATTAGAAGCTGGGTGGTGCGAACAATCGTGTTAACAAAAAGAGATATGCGTGAAACAAAATATCCGAGATGCACAGCCAAAAGCAAAACACCCGTTGAAACAACGCAATCTCACCCGTGAAAGTCGGGGTCGAGGTGCAAGGTGCAGATGTGGACGGGACCGCGAACCCGCACGGCACGTTGACGTGTGCGGCGCCACCACCGTCGACGGCGTGCGGGTTGCCGACCACCTTGTTGTTCTGGTAGAGCTCCATGTACGGGTACCACGGGGGCTTGTGCACGGCCCCTTTGCCGCTCGCCCGCTCACCCTTACTAATCTACTTGTACATGTTGACGAGGTTGCGCCACTGCTTCTGCAGCGCATTCACGCTGCGCACCCACCCGGGATTCTCCTACTCGAGGTGGTGTGCGAGGCGGGCCCAGTACTGGGATCCCTGCTTCCCGAGGAGTTTCTCGAGCTCGTCCTTCATGAACCAACGTGCCGCCACGAAGATCGTGCTCTCGCGGGGGGACCACACGCTCTGCTTGACAGGGTGCAGGTTGTGGTTCTTGGCCGAGGCACGCGGAGGCTCCTCGCCCTTCGTGGCAGTCTTGGTTCCGGTCGCGGCAGTAGCACGGGAGTGAGGGGGAGACAGGGTAGCAGGCTGGGCCTCCTCGGGCGCGTCCTTTGTCAGAATGTTATCTTATGCTCTAGCCTGTAGTGGGGTGCTCTATAGCGAGTACAACCCTTCTAGGGTTTGCTATTTGTATCCTCACTCTTGCTAGTGCAACCCTCTTCTCTCTTTTAATTTTCAAATGCTATCAGAGCAGGTCGATCCCCTTGGATCGATCCTGTGGGTGGGCTTACCACCTCCTTGCTTCCGCTGCAACTACTACCACTACTCTCTGAGCCGCACGCCCCGTGGCGTGCGGCAGTTTTTCTTCCCGCCGTGTGCCCCGAGGCGCGCGGCGGTTTTCTGCTCGCCGTGCGCCCCGAGGCGCGCGGCGGGCTTCTGCCCCGTCGTTCGGTGCGTCGCCCTTTAGAGGCGCCGCGACGGGCGACGGGGACCCGCGCGTCGCCCCCCGTCGCCCGTCGTGGCCTGCGCGCGGCCCGTACAGGCAGCGCGCGGCCCGTACGGGCTGCGCCAGGCCCGCGCGCGGCCTGTACGGGCTGCGCCAGGCCCGCGCGCGGCCCGTACGGGCTGCGCCAGGCCCGCGCGCGACCCGTACGGGCGGCGCCAGGCCCGCGCGCGGCCCGTATGGACGGCGCCAAGCCCGCGCGCGGCTCGGGCATCTGTACCAAGCCCGTGGTGGGCCCGTTCCTCGCTGCCCCTGCCCTCCCCGCTGTCCCCTAGTGCTTTTACTGGCGCCCCACCCCTCCTACTCCCCATTCTCCTGAATTAGGGTTTGGGGGTGAGGGGTATGGGGGTGACTTCACTCTGTACCGTTCCCTGCTCCTCCTCCTCCTCCGTCTCCTTGTGCTGCAGTTGCCGCTGAAGGGGGGTGGACGTGTTGGAGCCGGTGGAGTGGTACTAAGGGGGGGTGAAGGGGGAGTGGAGCTAGCGGTGTAGCAGCGGGTGTGTGCCGGGGGGGAGTGGGATAGTT